AGTCAACTTGATGCACTCCCTGTCCAGTCCAGGCAGCTGTGATTCCTGCCCTCCTGGAGAGTGTGGCCAGTGGGTTCCTGGTGAGCAGAGGTGGCTACCAACCCAGTGACCTCTGTGTTTCTGCCCCAACGGGCAGTGGGAAGACATTGGCTTTTGTCATTCCTGTGGTGCAGGTGGGTGTCACTTTGCCTCGTTTTCTGGTCGGGGTGGATGGCAGGGAGCTAGCTCTGCTGACAGGCAGCCCATCCTCCCTGCAGGCCCTGATGCACCGAGTGGTCTGCCAAGTGCGTGCACTGGTGGTGTTGCCCACCAAGGAGCTGGCCCAGCAGGTACATAGACCCCCATACCTGTAAGCCTATGCCCCCAGCCTGAGCTGACCTGCTGGGTGTGTGGTGCTCAGCCAGAGTCCTTGGCACTGTCTTGGAGGGCCAGCTTGTCCCCAGGCCAATGGCAGACCTCTCCTGTAGGTGAGCAAAGTGTTCAACGTCTACACAGACGCCACACCTCTGCGGGTTGCCCTGGTTACTGGACAGAAGTCTTTGGCTAAAGAACAGGAGAGCCTTGTCCAAAAGACGTAGGTTCTGTGGGTAGTGAGCTCTCTGGGGGTCTCTGCTCTGCCCACCCGTGTTGGGTAGGGGTCAATGCTATGTGCACGAGGTGGTCTGTGCTTGCCATCAGAAGGCCCTGCATGGTGCTTCCCTTGTGAGCTACTCTTGTTTGTAGAACAGACGGCTACCGCTGCCTGGCCGACATCGTGGTGGCCACACCTGGCCGCCTGGTGGACCACATTGACCAGACCCCAGGATTTAGCCTTCAGCAGCTCCGTTTTTTGGTAGGCTGCTTGCTGGGAGGCCCGGACTCCTTGCTGARGATGGACCTGGCAAGGAATTTCTGACAGCCAACGTGGTTTTGCCTGCAGGTAGTTGACGAGGCTGACCGCATGATAGACAGCATGCACCAGTCTTGGCTGCCACGGGTGGTAGCGGCAGCCTTCCATAGTGAGGGCCCTGCAGACCCCTGTGCCCTACTCCAGAGAAGGCAGCCCCAAGCAGTGACTGCCGCCAGGTATCCTGTTGTGCTGGGGCTGACCCCTTTCCTCCACACTTGCATGCTGAGGGAAGGCCACATACTCCCCGATGGTGTTCTCTGTGCACTGGGACCTGTGAGGAACCTGTCCTACTGACACCCTCTTCTTTCCAGCACCTGCCGTCCCCAGATGCCTTTGCAGAAGCTGCTATTCTCAGCTACCTTGACCCAGAACCCTGAGAAGTTGCAGCGGCTCGGCCTCTACCAGCCCCGGCTCTTCTCCACAGGGCTGACGCACAGGGGCCCCCAAGACAGGGATGTGGAGACAGACGGGGACTCGGGGGGGAAATACACCTTTCCTGTGGGGCTCACGGTAAGTGAGGGGGTAAGAGGGGTGGGTGGTGCCAGGCCCAGGGCTTCTGCCCACCTGCCATCTTCCACAGCACCACTACGTGCCCTGCAGCCTCAGCTCCAAGCCACTGGCCGTCCTGCACTTGGTTCTCAGGACGAGCGTCTCCAGGGCCCTGTGCTTCACCAACTCCCGAGAGCACTCCCACAGGTGAGCAGGGCGGGCGTTTGCGGCTGGTGAGCTGGGCCCCGGCCTCTGCCCCGGCCTGCAGCTTCCTCTCTGCATAGGCTCTTCCTACTGGCGCAAGCTTTTGGGGGTGTGAATGTGGCCGAGTTTTCCTCCCGCTATGGGCCTGGCCAGAGGAGGAAAATCTTGAAGCACTTTGAACAGGGCAAGATCCAGCTGTGAGTACAGGGAGGGGGCTGCCTGTGGAGTTGGGGTGCTTGCCCCAGCTGTCACCCTGGGMCTACTGAAGGGTGCTTTTTCCTGGAAACTGTGCTCCTGAGTCTGGGGTACATTTCCGAAAAGGCCTGGGATTTCCCTTTAGTGCGGAGGTCATGGCTGTAGGCGTCCCTGCTTCTGGCTCAGCTGGGTTTCAGGCTGGGGGTCCCTATTGCTGCTGGGCAGGACCATAGGGCTGTGTGCTTTCAGCCTCATCAGCACTGATGCCACTGCCCGTGGCATCGATGTGCAGGGTGTGGAGCTGGTGATCAACTACGATGCCCCCCAGTACCTGAGGACCTACGTGCACCGGTGAGGGCTGGCAGCAGTGGCCACTTGGGCTTCCAGGCTTGTGAGCTCCTGGGTGTGGGACGAGTGGGGGGTGACCAGGGAGAAGCCACTGTTCCCGTCGTACATCTGTGTGATTTTAGAGTGGGGAGGACGGCTCGAGCTGGGAGAACTGGACAGGCCTTCACGCTGCTCCTCAAGGTGCAGGTGAGGTGGTGTGTCTCTGTGGGACACTGGGGAGGCTGTTGCCGCAGAGGGTTCTGAGGGGGGTTGAGACCCTCCCACACGAGGCCCCTTCCCTGTAGGAGAGGCGGTTCCTCCGGATGCTGGCCGAAGCTGGGGCACCTGAGCTATCGAGGCACGAGATCCCCAGTGAGCTGCTGCAGCCGATGGTTCCTCAGTACGAGGAAGCCTTGTCCCAGCTGGAGAAGACCATCAAGGTGAGGTCTGCCTGGGCCAGTGGTCCTGCAAGTCAGCCTCATTCTAGAGTAGTGTGGACAAGAGCCAGAAGCAGGGGCCTGTCACCTGGCCCTTGAGCTCCTGGCCCAAGGCCGGCGGTGATGCTTGCTGAGCAAGCTCCCGTTCTCTGAGGGTCCAGGGGGCTGGGAGTGCTCACTTCAAGCCCCCTTCTCTCTCCCACAGGAGGAGCAGAAACAGAAGGTGGCCTAGGCTGCTGGGTGCATCTCTGTTCCCGACCACCCCGGGTTCCTGAAGCAGCAGTGGTGACACAGCCCTCTCCCACATTGCTCCTGTGCTGGGCAGCCCAGAGCTCAGTGGGTCTGCCAGGTTGGGACCCCTGCCCAAGGCTGTGTACCACGTCCTGGGGCAAGCTGGTCTCGAGCCCTGTGGTGTGCTTGCCTGAGGGCTGGGGTCCCCTCAGACAATGCCAGATGTCATGCTTCTGACATCAGCGTCCCACCTCCTGGGCAGCCCTGCTGTGTGACCAGATGGGAGGCAGCCCGGCCAGGAAACCTGAGCCTCGTGCTGATTGATGCTTGGCCACCACCCGGCCCAGGGCAGACCCAAAGCAGTGGGGTCCTGTGAGTGGAATAGGAGATTCAGAAGCACCTCTGTTTATGAGAAGACTTTTAGAAACTTCATGATAATAAATTTTTAAAAAACAGCCACTAATTGATTCATTTTAAGAAAACACGATGTGGTATGAGTGACAGTGCAGGGCCTGGAGTACCCTGCCCAGGGCTCCAGTGCCACCAAGATGGTGTTCCCCCCTGGGAGCTCCTGACCCTCTGCCTGGCGGGGCACACCGGAAGAGCAGTCTGCACAGGAGGCAGGCCACCCAGGGCCCTGGGCTTGGGAAGGACTCCTGCCATCCTCTGACCGGGCCCTGCCTCCCAGGTGGGCTATACTTGTCCTACCACCTGCATGCACATGCTGTTCCTGTGCTTTCAACACTCCTCTTCCCCAGTCATCCAGAAAATCCCTACTGCCTGACTCCCCCAACATAGCACGTCCATGCCACACCTTCCTTGGCCAGTACTTGCCCTTCACTTCCTCGTGCTGACCACCAGGACCGAGTTCCTTGAGGCCAGACGTTGGCTTTCTACTTCTAGTAGGTGATTAAAATGCAAATRGACAGCTGGTGTTGTGGTGGCCACACCTGTGAGCCCAGCTGCTCAGGAGGCTGATAAGTTCAAGGCCTGTCAGGGGAACTTAGACTGTCTTAAAATATCAAAGGGCTGGGGTGTAGCTCAGTGGTAGAGCACCCCTGGTTTCAACCCTCAGTCCTGGGGGTAAAAAAAGTTGGGGGTCCTTTCCAGGGAGCCCTGCTGCCCAGGGAGACAGACCCACCTCACCTGCAGGCTAGGCCAACAGTACTTGTAAGCAGTGTAGGCTGAGGAAGCTGGGGGTCTGATGGGTGTGGTGAGGGGGCTTCTAAAAGCAGTTGAGATAGAAGGCCGTGGGGTGGWGGGCAGGAGGCATAGAGGTGGGGCAGCAGGCAGGTGACAAACCAGTCTGTCTGCAGGATCCTCCATGGCAGCAGCCCAGTCCTTGGCAAGGGGCACCTTCTCAGATCTGTGCTGAGAAAAACTTCCCTGGCTCCTGGGGCTCCTGGGGCTCCTGGTGGAGGCTGGAGAGCCGCCCTCTCAGTATAGGCCTGGGGCACAGCCCAGAGAGAGGCTTACAATCCGGTGACATCTGAGCAGAAGCTGCCAGCATGCTGGCTGCAGGGCTGAGGTGCTGCCCTCCTGAGCCTGTGGCCCCAGCCCCACCTGGTGCACAGCTTAGCTCCAGGTCACGTGAACAGAACCTGACCAGGGACTGGCACCCTCCACAGAGCTCTTTTCTGTTGACAACTATGACAAGGGACTCGACTGTCTAGAGGGCAGGGGGGTCTGGGGAGGAGTTGGAGGCCCATGGCACATGGCTGGTGAGGCATGGAGCTACACAGGTGCTCAGGTAGGGGACAGGGCCATTATCTTGGAAGGCCAGCCCGATAGCTGGGTGCAGGACCCGCTGGGCTGCCGCTGGCCCACAGCTCCTGGTGCACAGAGCCTGTGCCCCTTCCTGCCTGGGAGGGTGCGCCCTGGAGCAGGGGTCTGCAAGGCAGGGCGCCTGTTCCTGTGCTGAAGGAAGGGCACCAGGACTGCCCCTCGGCTTCCTGCCTGCTTTTTATTAAAACTTGAAAGCTTTTGTCTCTAAGAAAAGGAAAAAAGTCCAAGAGCAAGAGGAGGGACAGCAGCCACGGGGTGCTGGCTAGAGGGACCATCAGCAAGGCCCCGAGCGCAAGAGGGCCAAGTGCCCACTGCCAGGCGCCACGTCTCAGGAGGAATTGGCACACACTGGTACCCACAGCAGCCACTTTGTGCTGTGAAAAACACAACCAACATCTGACTTTAATTTAAACATTGCTCTTCTATGAAAACCAAGACAGAAACATATAAAAAGGTCACTTTATTATGCCATCTGTCTGGCAGGACATCCATGCCCTCTAAGGTCCTACTCTTCAAGTACAAATACTTGTGTTAACAAAGTATTTACAGTTTGTCTTGTTCTACCTGCTGCCAGTCAGCACACATGCCTGTAGGGCCAGCAGCCAGGGAAGCCCAACCTCATCAGAGTGACCCGGCGACTCTTGATTAGGTCCATCCTGCAGGGGCCAGGTGGAGTGGCAGTCTGGGCTGYGAGCTGCACACTCTGCCTTTGGAACTCCGAATCACGACTGGCACGGAGAAGGCCGCCCCCCCGCCCCCACAGAGGGAGGGCCGCAGCCGAGCACAGGAGGCACGGTGTCCCCCCAAGCACTAGGCCTACAGCTGGTGGGGCAGCCGATGCCATTGATGGGGTGGCAAGAAAGTCACCTCTGACCACATGTTGTGGCCAGGCTCACTGTGGAGGCCTGCCAGAGACAAGAGGCTGACACTGAGCAGCAGCAGGGTCCACATTGCACCCCAGATCCCAGGCCCGCTCTCTCAGCAGCTCTGAGGGGGCCCATGCTCTCCCCTGGGCCGCAGATGGACGGAGCACTATGCTGGGCAGTCAGGTCTGAAGAGAGGCCACAGCACAGGAGGAAGGACAAGGAAGACCAGCGCAGCCAGACCTTCGCAGTCCTGCAGGGTCAGGAGTAAGGAGCCAGGGAGCGCGGTGCCTGCGAGGGCGCACTGCTGGCCAGACACACCTGGCCAATGCCAGGCCTGCTGATGAGCACGCGGACCCCAGCGCTGGGTCCGAAGCATCTGATGAGCTGGACACTCAAGCCCTGCTTCTCTAGTGCGTGGTGCTGACTCCCTTCCAGGTTCCTCATCAGTGCTCACCATTCAGCCCCCAGGTGGGCACCGGACACACACAGTGGTGGGGGGTCCAGACGCAACTGCACATGGGAGCTCTGCATGTGCCACACTGGTGGCAAAGGCCACTGCAGGGCCAGACGTCGTGACACAGGCAAATCCAAGGGCACAGAGGGCACTGCGGGCCTGTGCTCCTGCTGCGGCAGCACCAGGTGTRGAGCCCTCACCAGCCCCTCAGGCCCTGAGGGGCACCTGCCCCAAGGAATGYCCCCCTCAGTGCAGGGCCCCTCCAGAGCCTGGCGGAGCTACAGCAGGCCTGCTGGCAGACGGACCTCAAGACGATGAGGAACCCGGAGGCAYGGAGGGACTCTCACAGGAAAGGATGCCCCAGACCAGACCAGGCCAGCTTGCGTCGCACAGCTGCCCGAGCTGTCAGGCGCACTAAGTCCAGACATGAGCTCTGTCCACAGTGGGGGACGGTCAGAGCCCCTTCAAATGGGAGCCAGCAACATGGGGACAGGCTGGGGAGGCCACACTGCCACTCTGAGCGGAAGTTGGGTCATGGTGGCTGCCCCCTCATGTCCTACGCATGGAGATGGGCAACAGGGCCAGACCTGCCCCCTCAGAGTCATCCCACTCACACTCACCAGGGGAGATTGGAGTGCAAAGCCCACCTGGAGCATGGACTCCAGAGCCCTTCTTCCCTCCCGCGGACCACAGGTGCGTTCCAGCTGAGCGGGTGAGCCAGGCCGCAGTGGCAGTGCCAAGACAGGCGCCAGCCGCTGACACCACATGGGCCCCCAACTCCTTGGACGTGCAAAGTACCAGACACCAACAACCAGGCTGAGTGGCTTTCAAAACAAGTACTATTGCTCTGGAGGACATGAGAGGCGAGACACCAGGAATCATCACCGCCACGGCTCTTCAGCCAGCTGCGTGGCAGGAGGGGTGCTTGTGAGGAYGCTCCCTGAACATGACTGCTCGAGCACATGCCCTGCAGGTGACCCTGCTGGTGGCCTACTGGCAGGGGGGCTTGGTGGGCGTCTTCAGCCTCACGGCTGGGACCCTCATCTGCAGCTTGGGCTGCTGGCTCGGGCTGTCTGAGCTGGCTGGCACCTGTGCTGGGCTCGGGCCTCCTGGGGTCTGGAGTGGCGCCGAGGCCGTGGTCACCACCTGCTGCTGCATGAGCTTCTGCTGTACCACCTGGGCCGTGGCAGTCACCGCGGGGATCATCTGCACCTGCTGCCCTGCCGCCGTGGCCTGCGTGAGCGTCACAGTCTGTGGAGAGGCCTGTGCCGAGAGCCAGAAAGCATTGTCAGCAGAGTGCACACGTCACCCAGCAGGACAGCCAAGCCCAGGGCAGGCCCCTGTGCTCTCTGGCAGAGCAGGAGCAGGTGGAAACAGGGCCTCCCCAGTCTCAGGGAGGAAAGGCAAGAGCGGGGGCCTGGCTGCCTGCAGCTTGAACCACCCTGAAATATAAATACTGYTTTAAACTGGGCATGCTGGCCCCCTTGAAAGAGAGCAGCAGGACAGCCCCAGGTCCATGTCAGCCAGGGGACACCAGGACTTCCCCCAGACATTGTGGGATGCAGACTCCTCTTGTGGGACCAGGGAGCCTAGGACGCTGCAGAGCCCCGTCCTGAGCACAGTGCAGCCCATGCTGTGCAGGACGCCCTGCGAGAAGCAGGCCAGAGCACTATGCTGGGCAGTCAGCCCCTAGTCATCAGCACTCTGCTTCCTCAGGGAGAAGCCACAGATCCCAGCACCTCAGACGCCAGGGTCAGGCGGCCTGCGTCTGCAGTCCTACCTGCTGAGCGGCGGAGGCGACCTGCTGGATGCTGGCCACGGGTGCCTGCTGCTGCACCACCTGAGGGAGTTTGGCGACCTTTTGACAAAACAGAAGAGGCTGACACAGAGTTCAGAACACGTGCACGGACACTTCCTCCCTCTCCTCTGTCTTGGTGCTGTTTGTCCTGGGATTGAAGCCAGTACTCTACCACCAAGCAGTACCCGACCCCTGCATCCTAAGGTCTGGCTCAGTGGCTGAGGCTGGCCTGGAGCTTGCCACCCTCCTGCCTCAGCCTCCCGAGCCCTAGGACTGCAGGCAGCAGCACAGTGCCTGCTCCCTCTCAGCTCTTACCCGGCCACTGAGACCGAGGACACGAGACAGCGCGTCCCAGGTGTGCTCCTGGGTGCTACCCGAGACACACCCACCTGGCGCCACAGCCAAAGGAAGGTCCTGACGCGCCCACAGGAGCCCAGCAGAGGTGACAGGCCACAAAGAAGCCTCACAGACTTTGAAAAAAGTTGGCAAGGAAAAAAATGACTCTAAAGCCATGTGGCACCCAAGGCAGCAACTCAAGCCAGATGCCACCTGGTCTCAGCGGGGCTCTCACAGTGCAGCCTGAGGACAGGGACCACGACACCATGCAGACGTGGGGTTCTGAACGTGAGAAACAACCAAGTGAAACTCTGACAAGCTGAAGAGCAGATTAGACCTGACCACAGAAAACCCAGTAGCCAAGAAGAGTGGGAGACACCATTCAGAATGCAGGAGGCCACAGGACAGAGCAGAGGCTGGGAGACTGGAAGGGGACACGGGCAGAAGCAGCATCCAGACCAGCACGGCCCGGGAGAGCCCAGTCCAGGCGGGAAGCTCCACACACGTTTCAGAGGAACAGGGTGGTGTGTGCACACATGATCAGAGCAGCTGCCTGATGCCAGGGCCAGGTGCAGCAAGGCAAGTGTGCCAGGAAAATCAGTGCCAGCCTGGAATTCTGTATTAAGCAAATCCCCTTCTGGGAGCAGGAGAAAAGTAGGCATTTCCTAACACTAAAGAGAAGTCCAAGGGCACCCTCCGGTGGAGGAGAGGCACCTCAGGCACAGCGTTGAGTGCAGGTGGAGCGCAGTATGCGGGGGCTGCTGCTGGAGCACAGGGCAGGGTCACTGATGGCATGGGAGCATGTGGAATCTCAGGTGACCACCTAGGAGCTCTACAAGAACATCACCAGCCTGCAACTTTCAGACGAATAGAGGGGCAAAAACAAAATTAGAAAAGGTAAGGCCAAAAGAGGGAGAGGTGGGGAAGGAAGAGCAGCAGACAAGTTCCAACAGAAGGGACAGGCGCCTGAGAGCCAGGGCCTGCCTGCCTGCGAGGCCTGGACAACGGCAGCACCCCCTCGGCTGCACGCTATTCCCTGAATTCATCTGCAGCACCAAGAGGAAGATGCAGGATGGCTTCGAGTAGAAGAGGGAAGGTGTAAAAGGAAAGTCTAACCAAAGACGTAGCCCCACGCAGCCTGGGGTCAGACCTCGCCATGCAACTGCCCAGCGCAGCCAGGACCCAGAGTCTGGAGCTGGGCAGCAGCTGGGGCAGGCCTGGTGGACACCCTTGCACCTGCACAGCAAGCCCCTAAGCCCGGAGTCCTTGGAGGCACCCAGGAGGGGACAGGGAGATACGGACAGGAACCCAGGGTAAAAGGTGCAGAAAGTCCTAGCAAACCAGAAAAGAACAGAATTTTCCTTCATGTAACAAAAAACAAAAAACCAGAAAGAAAAAAAAATTCTTTTGTACAAAATGTATGAAGATGAAACTTAAAAAGCAGACACACGCCTGTGACCCCAGCAGCTCGGGAGGCAGAGGATGGCGAGTTCAAAGCCAGCTTCAGCAAAATGAGGCGCTAAGCAACTCAGTGAGAGCCTGTCTCTAAAGTACAAAACAGGCTGGGTGTGGCTCAGTGGCTGAGGGCCCCCAAGTTCAATCCCTGGTACCAAAAAAAGGCAGCAGACTCTGTACAAAAACACCAGAAAGTACGGCTCCATCACCCGACACAGCTGCAAGGCCTCTGCGAGAGCCAGAAGGAAATGTGACAAAAGCACTTCAGAAGATGTGGGCAGCGAGCGGCCTCTCCGCTGGAGAACCTGAAGCTTGGGTGTGCAGACGTCAGCCTGCATCTCAGAGCGAACAGGACTCCACAAAGCTGCAGCAGGGGCTGGGCAGTGATGGACCTGCTGGATGGCTGAGATCACAAGGGAAGGGCAAAGCTCCAAGGACAGCCAAGGCTGTGGACTGTGCCTTCAGGGCCRGGAGGCACAGCCCATCTGGAGTGCAGGCAGACCCACACGGCTCGGGTGAGGGCACCACAGGTCCAGGCACGGCTGGGACCGCTCAATAAGCAGTGGCATCTCACGGGAATTAAGCCAGCCCTTTCTTCTGTGGTATCACGTGTGAAAAGAGGACTAAAGACCAAAGCAAGAGAGCAAACCACGAGGGTGGAGGAAAGAGAGAGCTCCATGTCCTCTGGGCAGCGTCTTCAGTGCTGRCCAGGAAGGGGGAGGCCGTGCAGTCCAGTGTGAGGACCTGAACTGAGCATGCTGTGCAGGACAGTCTGTGTGGCTCAGGAACTGAGAGCTGATGTCCAGCATGCAAGACAGACCAGCCAACAACAGGCCTCACGGGGAGGAGACCACTGCCAAGAGGGCTGAGCAATGGCAAGGCTGACCCCAGGAGGCACCCACCCACCCACCGCCACCTGCAGGCCCAGGGGCCCACTGTGCACTGCCTACGAGGAGCCCAGACCTCTCTCCAGAGACTCCTGTAGCACAGCTGGCCTGCACCTGCCCAGCAACCCTAGAGCCCACCACACCCTCTGTGCCCTGCTCACCTGAATCTGGGTCTGCACCTGCTGCGTCCCAGCCAGCTTCTGGGCCTGGGAGATGGGTGTGGTCAGAAACTGGGTCTTAAGGGCCGGCTGGGCAGCGTAGGTGACCTTCTGTTGTGGGCCCTGAGTGGCCATCTGCTGCGCTGCCAGCTGGAGGGAACAGATGACCTGGATCAGACCCTGGACCAGTGCTGGATACTCAGACCCTGCTGTACCTTCCCTGTAGGACCCTGGCCTTCACAGCACACTCCCAGACAAAGCCCACAATGCCACTGGCCCCTGCTTCCTGCAGTCCCTGGACTGAAATGGAGGCCTGCCCTCCTTGCAGCCAGGCTGGAAGTCACCTGCCAACCTCCACAGGACCTGGTGTGTGAACGCCCTTGTGTGGGTAACTGAACTTGACCAGTTTCTCAAGGCTAATTTAAGAATCCAGCAGACAACCCGAAAGCATTTAGTACAAGAGGTGACGACCCGTGTGCCCGATCTGCGCACAGTGATTCTCATTTCCAGTTCTCTCTACTAAGAGAACATAAGCCACTCTGGAGGTGCAGCCTGTGGTCTGTCTCCTTCCAGTGGGAGCCAGGCCTGAGACTGCATACCAGCCAGCCGGCTGCTCTGGGTACCCAGGGAGGCCACCTCTGCCGGCTGCACAGCTGTCCTTCTCCTGAGACTGGGAAGGTGGCTCTGAGCACCATGCTTTTCTCCAACCTGTGCCCCAGGAGAGAGAACACTGCAGGAAAGCAAGAATAAGCAACAAGCCTTGATCTGGGACACACCCTGCCCTATAATGACAGCTATGCCTAGTGCCACGCAGGAAGACACCTGTCCAGCCACCTGTGCCCCTGCATATCCTATTTCCTGCAAGCCCCTTCTCTTGGACTCTGTGCTCACTGCCCGAGGCTCCAGGGACAGCTCTGCCTTGTCTTCTGCCCCCTGCCTCATAGCAGGCTTCAGCGCCCCTAGCCCAGCTGTGGCCCCTGTGGTCAGAGCTGACCTGCCTCCTTTCACCAGCTCTGCCACTCTGGGCAAGCCTCCTCATCCTCCTAAAAATGAGCTGTTTGGGATCAGCCCCAGATTCCTGCAGAACTCGGCCTAGCCCAGCTCTGCTGAGGCCTCGTGCCCACGCTTCTGCTCAGAGAACAGCACACACCAGGCCCGTGGCTCGCGCCAGCAGAGGCACCTGCAGGCTAGGGACACAGCGGCACTGCCCTCGCCATGCACGAGGGCCACCGATGAAGTTCCAGGTGCCCTGTGAACTTCCCTCAGCTACCACTTCTGCCCCCAGGCTCCTCCCTCAAACATCCTCCCCAGGAGCCAGGAGAGCACCAACAGCGAGCCCTTCAGGGTCCTCAGTCACATGGCTTCATATGGCTGCACAGCTGGCCAGCATCCTGGCTCAGGGCCACCCATCCTCACAAGTCCCCCAGGTCCCTTCCAGGCTGCGTCCTCAGACCAATACTACACAGCGTGTTTCCTGAGAGGCAGTGGTGGTGAGACCGCCTGCTAGTGCCCCTGGGAGCTGCGTGCTCTCTGGGGCTCTCCTCAAGGGCAGGCCGTACCTTCTGTGGGACAGCACCCTGGCCCTGTGCGACCTGCGGCTGAATGGCCTTCTGCTGTTGCACGGCCTGTTGCTTGAGCTTCAGCAGCTGCTGCACATGCACGGGCTGGGCCACGACGGTCTGTCCTGCAAGACAACGTGGCCTGTGAGTCGGTTGGGGCCAGGGCCCCACTCACCCTGGTCTGCTCAGACTGACTGTCCCTGCAGGAAACGGCGAGCCTGCAGCTGTGACAGCCAGCCAGCCCCAGACACTCAGATGCCTCTGCATGCCTAGGTCCCATTCACACCATGGTGAAACTTCAGACCGAGGGTGTTCAGTTAGACTGAGGACCCAGCAGACCAGAAACGCTCTGAGGAAACTGCATCCACAACACGGCCTGTGTTCAAAGGGCTCCAGGGCCAGGGCAGGGCAGGGCTGCGGCCATCTCGGCCAGCAAAGGCTCACTGCACACAGTGTCCAGCAGAGGGGAGGGCTGCAAGGCAGGCACCTGCTGCTTTCTGTGGCTGCCCAATTGCCACACTGATGCCCGCGACGTTCATGGGCAAAGTCGTGACGCCCGGCGAAGAGACCACGGCTGCTGGGACAGACACCACCGGAGGCTTCGCCAAGGCCACCTGAGCTGGCTGCGGTGTCTGTGTTTGCATCTGCCCTTGGGCCTGCAGCTGGGAAGTTGGAACCCGGGTCTAAACGGGAAGAACAGGAGAGTCCGGAGAAGTCCAGGATGTGTGTCTTTTCTAACATTACTCCTCAAGAAGTCACATCCCGAGAAAACCCATGGGGCTGGTAACATGGCTGGAGGGCAGCACTAGAGGGCAGCAGGGTGCCCACAGCTACAGGGGCGGGACTGTAAGGCCAGGCTGCCCACTGTCACGTGAGGCTCTCSRCGGCCTCTGGCTCCTGCACCTCCCCAGCTACCAAACCATGCTGGGCCCCATCTCTGCCCTGCCTCCCACCTGAAGGCCGCCACCACGCCACCTGCGCCTGGGGACCCCCACCCTGCTACTACACACTGCTTTCCTTAAAGGAYGTTATAGAAGACAGAAATGGAAATCAGTCCTTTTTTATGTGTAAGAAACTGGAGAAGAGGTGCCCAGAACCACCTCTGCGCCAACGCAGAGACCAGTGGGCCGCCCTCCAGAGCGTCCCGCTACTTGCCCTTCGTCCCCTTGGAAGCTGCTTCACCCTCCACTCCCCTATCCTCCTGGAACACATGCGCCCCCACACGGAGCTTCCTCACGGCAGTCCCTCCTCACTGCGTTAAGCGGCAGGCACACTTGAGGTCAGAGACTAACCAGCCGGGGCGTGACAGGCACTCAGCCAATGTGCAGTCCACGTGAGCCACCTCTCCCTGCCTTGGGGAGTCTGGGTACCAGGACAGGAAGGACCTGAAGCCCAGGCACCGCCTGGCCCCCRGGGGGTTCCCGCCACCCAACAGTGCTGGCTCTCCGTGCCCCACACCCCGCTTCATCCTGCCGTCGGAGCTCTCCCTGCAGTGGTCTCCTGCCCACTGGAGCTGGTCACGGGGCCTGGCCGCATCCCACACCACCTGCAGCATTGTGCTCCAGCCACGTTGCCCTCGGCCCTGCCCTCCACAGCAGGGAGACAGCCACATGTGTGTCTGGCCTCATTGCTCACACACCACTGCTCAGTCTCCACCACGCAGTCCCAGAGAGTCTGGGGACAGTCGATCCTGGGGAGTACCGCTGACGAAAAGTGTCACGTGGGCAGGGTCTCACCCTCTCCCAGGAGGCCGACACTCAGGGGACTGATCCTTTCCCAGCTCCCTGCGAGGCTGCCACGACACCCAGCACCCTAGCAGGTGGCCGCAGCCCCCAGAAGCACGGAGACGCTGCTCTCAGAAGGAGCATACAAGCTGGAACTTACAAGCCGGGCCACTTGGAGGTTGGCCACAGTGGTGCCTGTGAGCAAAGCCCCGGGCCGTGGGGCTGTGACCGTGGTGAGCTGGGGGCTCTGCTGCTGCGGGGGTTGCGGGGGCGGCACTTGCACCTGTGCTGGAGGCTGGGGGGGCCCAGGCTGGGCCTGTGGTGGTGGGGGCTGTGGGGGCAGCTGCACTTTCTGCTTCTGCATCTTGATGATGTGTTCCTGAAACCCAAACGAGGCACACTGTGTGACGTCCCGACGCAGGTCCCCCTGCCTCTGCCCAGCACCAAGGTGCTCGTGTGCAGACGTGCAGAGGGCAGCCGTCCCTGCATCACAGCCTCCTGCTCACAATCAGCCTTGCACCAAGAAAACTTGACAGATTAGAGAATCCACAGCAGAATTTCTAGGTTGTTATCTCTCAAACACATCAAATATTTAGCACCCAAATGTACTGACTAGTAAATGAGTTAAATAACTAGCAGTAATTTGTTAACAGAAGCAGAAACATCAAAATACGATATGAAACGTGGGTTCAAAAAACATTTTGAGAAACAAACGTCTCAAGGAGCACTTCACGGAGATGTGCCGAATGTCAGACATCTGTGGGCTCACCAGACACAGAAGGGGTTCTGCAGTTGCTACAGTAGGGCAGGGTACGAAGCGACAGGGGCAGGAGAATGGGTGGGACTCCTGCCCGAGACCAGGTGAACAAGAGTTCTTGGCACACAGGTGTCTCAGAGGCCAGACCCTGGGGCCTGGGGCACTGGACAACTCGCCTCTGCTGGGCCCAAGGACCCCTGGGCAAGGAAACTCTCTAATGCAGCACTGTCCAGGGGAACCTGCTGCAGGGACAGCAACGCAGCAGCCAGGCCATGCAAGGTCAGACCCGAGAAGCAGGTGTGGTGACGGAGGGGCAAACACTACACCTCACTGCGTGTCAACTGAAACTTCGCCTTATGGGCAGCATAGCTCCCCAGGGAGCACAACAGGCACCTTGGTGGCCACGAGGGCTCTGGAGCACACTGAGCTGTAGCAGAAACACCAGGCACTGCACTTCCTGCCCTCCCAGCACCTGGGACAAGGCCTCAGTTGGCATGACCATCACCTTCACAACAGTCATAGCCCCACTGACTGTGCCTCCTGTGTCTCTGGCTCCCTTCACCAGTGTGCACTCATAGTCTCCATTGGTGGCAGGGACATAACACTTCCTTCTAAAACGGGCGAGCACACTGCATAAAAGATGGCACAGGCACACAGACTGCCAAGGACCAGGAGTACCAGCGTTCCCACCGCCACCCTGGAAAAGCAGACTGCAGAAGCCACCTGGTCTCAGAAACTGCGGCTCACTGGCACCCTCTGGTGGAGAGGGGTGAGGGGGTGAGAGGGGTGGAGAGGGGTGGAGAGGGGTGGGGGKGAGAGGGGGTGAGGGGGTGAGAGGGGTGGAGAGGGGTGGAGAGGGGTGGTGAGAGGTGCGCAGGACGGAAGTGGGGAAGATGGGCCCTTGCACTCAGGGAACACTGAGGAGCCTGGCTGAGCCACACAGGAGTGGGCCAAAGTGGCCCTGAGTGGGAAGTGGTACCCACGGCACACTGCCCGCCTCCGGTCCTGCAAGGTACCCACTGCAAGAGCATGTGTGTTTTCTGGGAAGGGCTCACCGGTGCCAACTTGCCCACAGCTTTGATCTGGGCCTGGGCCTGCACCTGTGGAGCCTGCACCTGTGAGGGCGGCGGCGGCTGCTGCTGCTGCTGTTGCTGCTGCTGTTGCTGTTGCTGCTGCTGTTGCTGCTGCTGCCGGAGAAGCTGGAAGTGTGCAGGGGTGATGGTCTTCCCAGGTAGCTGGACACCTGTGGCTGTGCAGAGGCGGGAGTCAGACCTCCGCCCTTGCTCCCTGGGTGGTGTGCAAGGGTAGAAACACCAGGCCCCTTTACCTTGGGACACCTGGGTCACCAGAGACCGTGTCGGGGTCTGCACAGGGGTCAGGTTGGTAGTGACCACGGCTGAGGCTGTCACAGAGGTGACTGCTCGGACGCCCTGGGTCGTTGCCATGGATACCAGGTCAGTGGTGGCAGTGGCAGGGGAGCCAACCGCTCGCTGCTGTGTGTGAACCACCTGGGCGGGAGCAGAGCCTCCGGACGTCTAGAAAGGCAAAGGCAGAGCTCACCACTTTCCACACGGCACCCGGAAAGAGGCTCTGGACTCCAGACCCAGGCCTGCGGGGCCTTCTGCCGTTCTCTCTGCACACACAAGTACTGCGTGGTCCCAAGAGCATCCAGACCTGGTACCTTGAGCCACAGAGAAGTGCTGCTCATGGCCAGTCGCAGCTGCAGGTGGAAAGGGCCCTGTGTCCCTCCCACTTCGCGCGCACACTGCCTAGCCCCAGGAACATCCAAGCTCCTGATAACCCTTCAGGAGCCCCGTGAGGCCCACGGCCTGCCACTCTCTGATCTGCRCAGAGGCTACAGCCCCACTGCCCTTCCCAGTCCACCTCTGAGCCACCTTCAAGCACAGGCTGCCCTCTCCCAGCCACCTCAGCTGTCGCGGCCTCTGGGGCACGGGCTTGCCCATCTCAAGGATAAGCTCCACAACTCCCCGCAGCATGGTCCCCTCTGCTGCCTCTGTGGTGTGACTCCATCTTATCCTCCTGATATCCAGGGATGAGTGGCACTAACACTTCTCTTCCCTCTCTCTGCCCTCCATGGCACCCAGCTTCTCTMCAACGCCTGCAGTGTCTGCCCGCATTGCCTGGACCACGCCCTGCCTCTCCTCGGCCACTAGCTCTCTCCTCCACCTCCACCATGAGACTGAGGTGCACTCACAAAGGCTCCTGCCCCCGGTTCTGGGAACACGCTTCTCATCTCTACAAGTCCCCACATTCACTTACACTATAGTTTTGGTTTCTTTAAAACAGAAAGCCCCACTATCATGGTTCCGCCTGCCAATCCCAGGACTCGGGTCAGTGTGGGTCACTGCCACCTCCATAGGCCCTCGCTCTGATGCCTTGTCTTCCTTTCCTGTTCCCCAGGTTCTAAACTTTTTATTTGACTGTAGTATGATGACTGTACACAGCAGTGGCTTCCTCGTGATGTATTCGCACCAGCACGTCACAGTTTGGGCCTTGTCTCCTTCCAAGCCTATTTTTTATGGAACGCTGCTGCTTGTGGTGCTTGATGCTGTCTGTGGAGAGCCCGGGAAGGCCCTGCTCCTGTCAAGTGCCAAGCACCCTCCAGTCCAGTCAGTTTGCAAGCTGCCTGCAGGTTTGCACCTCGTACAGCAAGACCACCTTCAACTGCGAACCCAGAGGAGCTGGTGGCCACAGTGCCACCTCTGCCCTCTGTTCAACATGGGCGTCACTCCTGGATCACTCCTGCCCTTGGGTCCCAGCTCGARTAAACAGCCTCCTCCAGCTCCCAGCTCAGGCAGGCGTCACAAGCAGGCTTCAGTCCCTACCCACGCTGGCGGTCACTCTGCAGGCAAACGTGCCTCAACACAGCCGTGTCCCGCAGGCCCCGGCCTCCCCAGGTGCAGTTATCTGGGGACCACCACAAGGTCTCTGCACCTCTCACACTCCAGCATGCCAAGTGTGCCTGCACCTGCATGTCCAAGGCACTGGGGACGAGGGCGAGGACCTTGATCTGGAATATGTGGTCAGAGCGTTCTGGGAGCTAGAGCACCCGCACACAACGGGGACCTCGGGGAGGGAACCCAACCCTACACACAAGATCACTAAGGTCCCATGCATGCCTGATGCACATGGCTTGAAAGTGATTTTATAAAATACTGTTAATAATCTTGTACATGAAAAAAAGAGTTTCAGTGGGAATTTCCCAGTGTGGCTCCAAGTTCTGGACTTTGGAACATTATAGATTCTGGATTTTCAGGTTAGAGATAACTCGATTAGTATCTCGTCCAATATTAAGAGCTGCTCAAAATAGATATGTAGGGAACAAACTATTTTATGCAATATTTTAAAATATCACATGTAGGAAGGGAGGGGGCATGGGGTAATTAATGATGGTGGAATGTGATGATTATTACTATCCAAAGCACATGTATGAAGACATGAATATACTATGTACACAAACAGAGATATGAAAAACTGCTCTATGTAATAAAAGATGTAATGCATTCTGCTGTCATACATAAGAAAAAAATTTACATTAAGAAAAATCACATGTAGATATTTTCAAAATAAAACTCTACACGTGATGGTTCTGGCTTCCTACCCAGAATCACTGCAAACAGTGGAACTAGTCACAGGAATGGCCCCAGCACCAAGGCCTAACAGCTTCTGCTATTTATGGAAATGGTGGAGTCTAAATTGGTTTATGGCAAAGCAAAGAAAAACAAAGTTGCCCCGGCTGCACACTAGGAGCCCATTTCCCACCTCTCCTCTGCATAGTGCCGTGGCCTCTGCAGCGGGGTGTGCTCAGCAGGACCCTCGTTGCCATACCTGGCTCCTGGCACTCAGCCGCGACACAGCCCAGCAGATGCCCACACGGCCCCTGCAGGTCACCAGGCTGCGAGGTCAACCCTCTCTCAGCTCAGCACTGACGACTGTGGCCCACTGTGTGTCCCTCTCATGAAAGCCTCTGCCTCTGCTCTCACGTCCCCAAGGGAAATCCCAGGGCAAGAACCGTCTGGGGGTGGTGCCCGAACTGTGGGAGGGAGAGGGCAGCAATGGCGGCAGCCATGACACCCCTTAACCACCTGCGCTCAGGTCCCTCATGGAGCACTTCCATGTCGCCTGAGCAGTAACCGATCCCATCTTCCGATGAARCGGGTGCACGTGGTGCAGCTGTGGTCCTCTGTCCCTTCCCTGGGGACAAGCAACACCTAGTCTCTTCTTAAGACTGCCTGGCTGCCCATGTCTTCCTGGTGGACTGACCACTCCATCTTCTGCCATGTTTTATTTTGTTTTGTTTGTGGTCTGGCCAGGAAGCCAGGGGCACTTATCACTAAGACGGACCCCACCCCCTTCTGATTTCGAGGCACTCAGGGCCTCCCTAAGTTGCTGAGGCTGGCCTTGAGCCTGCGGTCCTCCTGCTCAGCCCACTGAGCCTGGGATCACAGGTGTGGCCCTTGCTCCCGGCGCCCACCGGGCTCTCACCACGGTGAGGAATCCTCAGTCTGCATCCAGCCCTTGCCATCTGTGCTTGGCTTTTCTTTCTCTTAACGACTTTTCAAGAAGCAAGTCTTGGTTTTGATGAGACCCATTATCAATCTTTGGCTCCCAAGCTTTGGGTACTCTAAGGAAGGTCTGTCTGAAGCAAGGTAGCAGAGACATTCTCTCGTGTTTTGGTTTCAAGTCTGCAGTTCTGTGGAGTGTGATCAGGTTGGTAGTCCACTTCAAGGGACTTTCTGTACACAGAATAGTGGGCCAAGCCTCCCTGTCCTTTATGTGGCTCTCCAGCTAATTGGGCACCGCTGGGTGAAGATGCCCCTTCCCCACTGGATGCTCTGGCACTTCCCAAGGGACCAGAGTGCTGCACACCAGCATGTGCATCTGTCCTGGCCTCTACCCTAACCCGCTCACAGGTGCCTGTCCTGTGGCCAGCACCATACCACCCAGATACTACAGCTCTGTCACAGGAAGACCCTGAGCCCAAGGGACCTCATTCTGCCTCCAGAGCGCCATGACTTCATTCAGGTGTATGCTGCCTTTGGGTCTGTGACTGGACGGGAAGTCAGAATAAAAATTTAAGTCCCTTGATCTCAGTTCTGTTGTGTGGCACTGGGACTGAACCCAGTCGTGCTCTACACTGAGCTGCGTCCCCAGTCCTTTACAGTTTGAGACAGGGTCTCACTAGGTTGCTGAGGCTGGCCTGGAACCTGGATCCTCTTGCCTCAACCTCCTGARTTGCTGGGACCACAGACCTAGGCTATTCTACTTCTATTTTTTATGGTGAACCATGAAAGACGGGCTGGGGGGGGCAGACACTTCTGGCTGTGAGCTCAGGTGCCCTTAGCTCCGTGTCCTGCCAACATACTTCATCTCTGTCAGGTGGGGCCCTGCTCCCTGCACACCCTCAGCTGGGCCCTGTGGCCTCTTCACACCCTGGATGTGCCTCACCCCCGTGTCCCCACAGATACGTGGCACCCACACAAGGGCACCTGTGTCAACGAATGGAAGCTGCATCCTCATGTCCTGCCCACCTCTTCGTTCTGCGGGGAAAGCGTCTCACACACACACCAAATTCCCATCTTCATTCCCTCCAAGTACACGAGAGAAACCGCCCCCAGCCACTGAGTGTACTGACCTGCCACCTGACCAGCGCCCTACCGCACAGAACTCAGCTAGATCAGCACATTTCTCACTGATGGAGTCTTAAAAAAGCAAATCATCTCCCTGCAAAACAACCCCACGGAGCATCCCCAGGCGTAGGATGACTCACGGTCAAGGACCCTGGAGCCACAGGCGAAGCCAGGCGCTTGTTGATGGACTGGAAGGTGGCGGCAGGGACGCCAGCGATGGTGTTCACAATCACATTGCCACTCACTGTGCCTGGGAGGAGGACACAGTGAGCAGGGACCGAAGGGATCCTCTCCCACCTCACCCTTCCCGGTAAGCCTCACCTGCTGGTATGCTCGTCCCGGTCACTGACGTCTTAATGGTTCCTGCCTGTTTGAAACAGAAAGCACATCCAAGTGTGTGTCCCGCTCCCTGGCACACCCACGTCACACAGTCACCCACACCCCACCCACGTGGCCAGCCTCCCATAGGCATGGCCTTGCTGCTCCATCCTTGCAAAGGAGCAGCTGCAGCTCAGGCCTCAGCTCAAAGGCAACTTGGGAAAGGCTCCTACGACCCAGCAGTCACTGCCTGGCTGTTCTCGCCTCCTTCCACATTTAAAGTGAACTAGCAAGGTTTGGTGGTGCACGCCTGCAATTCCAGCAGTCAAGGAGACTGTAGCAGGAGGATCGCAAGTTCAAGATCAGCCTAAGGAACAACTTAGGCCCCCAACAACTTAGCAAGACTCTGTTGCTGAATAAAAAATACGAAGGGCTAGGGATGTAGCTCTGTGTAAAGCACCCCTGGGTTCAATCCCCAGTGCCAAAAATAAAGCAACTATACCTGCTGTCCTCCCAGCTCCACCAGAACGTTCTGGCAAGTGGGGACACAGCAGGTCTGCCCCTCCCCCAGGGTCCTTACACCCAGCAGGTGCCTGATCAATGCATCATTCTAACTTGCCCAGCTGCTACAGAAATCCCACTGAGGCTGAAGGCAAAAACAAAGCTAACCTAATGGAGAATACTGTTCTAAAACAACAATCAGAAAACTGTTTCTGTGCCTGGCTGAGGCCTAGAGTGCACCCCGGTCCAGCCAGAAGACCTGCTCTCCACCAGTGGCCTGTGCACGACTCCAGTGTCTGGGCTGCGCTGCCACACACAACACGGGTGCCAGCAGCCTCATGAGGGTCGCGCTCGSCCTTCTGCTCTCACACACCACCCTACACACTCTGCCTCCAACAGGCGTGTGGGGGAGACTGCATGCACATGCTGGGGACAGCTGCTTGCGGCCCTGTGGGGTCCTCTCCAACCCCCACCCAGGTGAGCACATTGAGCCACGGTGGGCTGGCGGGGGACAGCTGCGGGAGGCGCACCCCTACTCCCTGGAGGGCACGAGGACTCACCAGCACAGCTGCACTGCCCACAGTGGTGATGGCGGGCTGCCCCTTTGGTGGGGCCTGCACAGGCTGCGGCGGTGCTTGGGGCTGRGGCTGGGGCTGGACAGTGGGAGGCCCTGCGGGTGGCTGGCTGCCAGATGCCTGTGGCTGGGGTGGAGGTGGCGGCGGCTGCTGTGGGGGTGGCGGGGGCTGYGGCTGGGGTGGCGGCTGTGACACAGCCGGCTGCTGAGTCTTCTGCTGATCAGCCAAGGCCTAAAAAGGTCGGTGGTAAGAGGAGCTCTGAAGGGGTGGCACGGGACCCCTACCTGTGACCCCCAGCCCCAGAACATTCCCACGCAAGTGCAAGGAGCCAGCACCTCACCTTCTTCTCCTTTGCGATCCGCTCTGCACGGAGGGATGCGACCTGGATGGGAGGCAGGGGCTTGTCGTAGGTGATCCCACTGAAACACAAGAGCGAAAGCTTGGAACACAGCCATGTGCGTCCATGACTGCAGCTTCCCGCGGTCAACAAAGTCTAAAGATGTTAGGTGGAAAATCCCAGAAGCAAATAACTTCTAAGTTCCTAAGCATCACTCTTCAGAGTAGTGTGACGAGACGCACCGTCACTTCCCTCCAGCCCCATCCTTTGTCCAGCAGATCCACGCTGGGTGCCGCTAACCATCCTGGGCACCAGACTGAGTGTCTCTGTGGCACAGAGCTGCAGAGCTTGTGTTCCAACCACCTGCACCTTACTTTACGCAGGGCCACTTTACGCAGGGTGAGGCCACCCAGGTTGCGAAAGGACCCATGCTTCCATGAGGCGCAGAGGCAAGTTCCTCCACTCAGCTGAGAACAAGCACCTGTTAGCTCGGTGCTGTCTGCAGTCCCGGGCATGCCTTGTGGACGCCGAGCCCACTAGCTCTGTAGACAGTCTAGACCAGCCAGAGTCCAGCCCCTGACTCCTGGACACGCCCCTCGATAGGCACCAGTGCCTGCTGCCCTTCAGCCCATGGACACAGCCACAGCAGTGGCCACTTCAGCCCCCACATTGGGTGCACGAGGCTACCTCAATTTTCCTGCAGCCCCTGCCCCTGCAGCAGGTCTGGTGTCTGGGACATCGGCCCTTAGCCCTGTCTCCACACCCAGCCAACAGCACTCCCAGGGGAAGAGTCTCTGAACAACCCCCGGAGAACTGAGGCTCTCTGCCCTGAACTAGGAGCCCTGTATCTGCAGGGCTTGCAGTCAGCACATCAGACATACCCAGGGCACATCTGAATCTGATCTGACCAGGGCAGGACGAAGATTCCTAGGAGTGCGGTCCCTCCCTAGAGGCGGGCTGCGCCAGAGCCAAGGCGCTCTGACAGGGAACACTCCCTGCAGCAGTGCGCAACAGACACTGCGAGCCCAGGAGGAAGCAAGCCAGGCACAGTGCCCCTGGTCTGCATGGGGCAGACCTTCCTCTGACGCCACTGCCCAGTGCCCAGCCCCACGGCTCGCCCACTCACAGCCTCATCACCCACCTGTTGGTAAGCGTTTTTTCCTCAACCTGATGTGTTTTTAAGCACAGCAACCTGACGGCTGGCGAGGCCAGCAGGAGGAAGAAAGCCCTGCGGCCACCCACAGCCTCATACACACCCCGTCCCAGCAGGTACTCTGCCAGGGTGAGCGGGAATCACGGCCCCCCACTCAAAGGACATGGCTCTCCACATGCCCCCGCTTGCAGAAGCACCCCGGCACATCCAGCCAACAGCAGGAGTCCACAGGTCCCAGGCTTCAGCCAGGTGACTGGACRCGAGTGGATGCTGAATCAGGACCTGGCTCCACACAGTAAGAAACGCGTCACAAACACAGAAATACCTTTCTGACAACACCGAGGCGTGCTTGGGGTTTTTCTGAAAGGGATTCATGCCGAGCCTGCAGTTCAGAGAATGAGACACGATCACTGCACAGAGAAAAACAGCACTGAGAACACGGGGGACRGGGCGCAGCCTGCCCAGTGGGGGACCCACAGAGGCTTGATTGGTGGGCTCCTCTTGCCAGCTGTGGTCTTCATCAGGTCAAAGTGGCTGCTGAAGAGCTGGGTGTGCGTGGCATTCTCGTCCTGGGCATAGATCTGGCTCGTGCGCAGGGGACGGTTGTTCTTACTCTGGAACAAAACAGAGGAGGGCACATGCGGCTGGTCTGCTGGCCAGGGTGTCCCTGAACCCGACTTCGCTTCCCTGCCCTAGCTCTGAGTGGCAACGGCACCATTAGAGCAGCACCATGAAGTGGTGGTCACTGCTCGTGGCTGCGCAGAGGTGCTTGGGGCCTCACAGTGGGTGAGGGCAGAGCAGGATGTGCCTTTCCTGGGCAGACCACCCCCCACAGGCGCTCAGGGGGCACTGTCAGCAGTGATGACCACCAACATGCCTTCCTCTACCTATGGTAGATGTGAGGGCAGAACCATCCAGGACGGCCACAAGCGCTTGTCCAGGGGATCGGCACCACGCGTGCCAGTCACCCTTCCCTCACGAGCCCTGCAGCTCAGCAAAGCCTCTCGGCCGTCGCACATGTGCTCTGGAGGCACAGAGAGCACCGCCTGCTCAGGACCATGGCCGTTCAGGAGGAGCCCAGGAAGCTCAGCGCCCCTTTCTGGCAGGGCCCTTCTGCTCGGCACCTCTGCACGAGGGCAGCCCCACAACCCCACGACCAGAGGCCCGTATGCTGACATGGTGATGGTCCAGGCACAGGCACGGCAGATAGGTGCACACATGTGGGCAGCTGTTGCTGGAGAAACCCCTAAGTTCAGAGGGCATGCTGAGAAAGCCCGACCTAGAAAACACTGGCCCTCGTCCTGACCACCACATGGGACCCTCTCCCATAGAACCAAGAGCCAGCCAGGGCAAGCAGGCGGACGTGCGGGTGGGCATGCCATATGCTCCACACCCAGGGCAAGGAGAGTGGGGCAGACATAGGACTGTCCAGCGAGGGACCTGCTGGCCCTGACTACGGCCTGCAGTGTCACAGCACTGCACAGGTGGTGAGCACTGGTGGGGGTTGAGTGAGTGCAGCGGCCCCCAGAGAAAACCACTGGCCACTGCTAGGCAGGTGCCCCACTGGGCCTGCCTTGTACCTCACAGAAGCAGCATCTTCACCCCACCACTGTGAGCCTGGCTCTGAGCCTTCGCCTCACAAACCAGGTAATAGGAGGAGACGTTCCAGCTTCCCAGTCCCACGGTGAGACAGTGGCTGTCAGCACGGGGCAGTGAGGAAGGACTTTCGTACTCTGACCAGCGTTCTCAGGAAGAACGTGGAGTGTCTGAAGCAGTGGTTATCAAGCAAGCCCAGGGGTGTCCTTGTCCTGGGCACAGTGATGGCTCCCCTGCAGAGGTCCTGGTTCTCACAAAATTGACCACACGAACACCCTGAAGGCCAGGACTGGATGCCTGCCTCTGCCCTGCCCTTCCTTGCCAGCCAAGGCTGCTGTGCTGATGGGAGCCCAGGCAATCTCTGCCCTGTTCCTGGAAAGGGACAGGGCATCTGTAAATGCTGGCCTGGYGAGCCATGTGCCCTCTGCCTGGGGCAGACAAGTAGTGAGGAGCTGTGAGCCGAGCCGGAGGCCCACCTCACACTCGCTCCCAGACAGCAGGCTGCAAGCCAAGCCCTGGGCCGGCACCCACCAGGCAGAGGAAGCAGGAGATGCCCTGCAGGAGCCATCATCAAAGCTACAGCCGAGCGCCTGGATGCAGTTTTCCAAATAGCAGCAGGACAGATGCAGGTGAGATAACACATCAAGGTTGCAGCCAGCACAGCCACGACCCTCACCGACCAGCTGGCATGGACCCCTCCAGGCTGCCCGTGAGCTGGGCACATGGACCGCTCCTTGAAGCTCCCATCAGAGCCCAGGGGCAGCCAGCTGCACACAGACATGCCCTCCCAAGGGCCGCGCGGCCAGCTCACCTTGCCCTCCTCTCTGGGAATGATGACGTTCTCGTAGCGGCTGCGGCACTGCTTGGAAGAGCGGTAGATACGGCTGCAGGAGTTAACGACATCGCTGACGAGATCCCAGTTGGGCGTGTGGGCAGGTGACACGATCGTGAGGTTCAGGGGAAGCTCAAGTAACTGCTTCACGGCCTGGAGGGCAGGGGCAGATTGCCAGTGCTGTCCGCCAGGCCCCATTCCAGGCCCCACCAGGCCCCACCCCAGGCCTGCACATGCCACAAACCTGTAGCAGGGCCCAGTCCTCGCCAATGAGCCACTCGGGGCTGTCCTGGGCAGGCTCCCCTGAGGACTTGACGCAGGTGGGCAGGGGCTTGGCGAAGGGCGCCTGCTGCTTGAGCAGCAGGTTCTTTTTCTGCTCCTTGCCTTCACGCCGCATCTTCAGCATGCCCGGCGTTGCCCGGTCAAACAGGGATCGGGGTGGGACGACTGCCTCCCCGTGCCGCTGCTTCTTCTTCCTGCCTGCAGCTAACCAGAGGCTGGCTTCAGGGAAGGGATGCCAGGGACAAGGGGTCGGCAGGGGAGACAGGGCAGGAGGGCCACCACGGGGCACCAGGACTGAGGGGCTCGGGAGGGACTGCTACAGGACAAACTGCCTCACTGGGAATGGGGACACGTGGACGTGGGACAAGAGATCACAGATGAGCCTATGGTCGCCACCCCCTGGCAGAGGCAGGAAACCACAGCTACTTGAGACGGGCTGTGGCAACCTGGGACACAGCCGTGGAGCACACACCCGAGGGGTCTGTCTTGTGCCGCTTGCGCTCCTTCCTCACATACACGGGGGGCAGCTTGGCCTCTGGGATGGGTGTGGCCTCATACATGAGACACATGACAGAGTCAATGTACACGTCGTTGTCATCCTGGGGTGGGGTAGGTGGGGTCCAGAGCTGCGCAGAGAGACTCCTGTGAGCCACRGAGCTGTGGAGGGTTGGCCGCTTGGGCACAAGCTGAGGGCGGTTACTTACAGGCATGACCTCTGTCTGTCCGTCGGCATCTTCGTAGACATATTCCTGCACAAAGTGGACAAGTTAAAAGACCCAGCCAAGTCTTAACCCCGTGCTATGCAGCACCACCCATCCACTCTCACTTACTCCTGTCTCTGGAGTAAGTCTGAGTAGTGCAACTGAGACTTCAAGTGTCTCACCCATGGCTGGCAATTCGCTGTAGGGAAAGCCAGCATCTAACTGTGCACCCCCTCAAGTACAAGAGGCGAGGAAGGTGGTCCCAGGTGTAGCTGAGGTGCACAGCCTGCAACAGGCCGGCGGGAACAGAGAGCCCAGGTGCAGGGGGGGCCATACCATGCTGTAGGCGTCCTCCCGCGTGTAGGTAAGCAGCTCTGCCTCCTCCTGCTCCYGCTGCAGCTGGGCCTCCCTCTCCTGCAGGATCTGGGCATTGTGGGCCTCCCAGTCCCTTACCGATGTCAGGACTGAGTCCTGCTGGGAGGATGGGGAAGGACATCAGAACCAGAGCTGGAAGTGCTGCCGCCAGCCGGGCGCTCAGAGCCTGGCAGGCCAAGCTGCGTCCAATCAGACAGGACCATTCAGGGAGAGGGGAGGGCTCAGGCGGCTCAGCACTGCTGGGTTGAGGCTCTGTCCTTTTAATTTAATGAAATCACATTTACTTCCAATCAAAGTCAACACTCAAAAAATCTGAAACTCCTCACATGTGAAATGGTCACAAGCTGACTCTTACCTCACTATTTCTCTCTCTCTCTTGGTCAACAGTYGTATGGAATAATTCCAGGTAATTCAAAGCATACTTTTCAATTGGTGTGAGCTATTTCAAAAACACATATTTTTAAAATAGGGTTAGGAGCAAGTTAGTAAAAGTTAATAAGGTTCTTTATAAAATGTGCTCACCAATATGTCACTCAAAAAAGTGCTCTAGGGCTGGGGATACAGCTCAATTGGTAGAGCACTTGCATTGCAATGCACAAGGCCCTGGGTTCAATCCCCAGCACCACAAAAAAACAGACTGGAAAAAAGTGCTCTAAGTATTTTAAGAAAGCATCAGAATCCTAAGACGTTCAGCTTAAGAAGCAACTCCACCATGCCCACACCTGCTCCATGAGGTCTGCCAGCTCCTCCAGCTGCGAAGGCTCCTCCTCACACCTGGAGCTGCCCACCTCTGAGGTCGACAGGCCAGCGCTTGCTCCGGGCACTGCTTCCTCTGCGGCCTTCTGTGTGTCCTCCTCCAGATCCTCAATGCTCTTGAGGGCCTGAAGAGAGTCTGCCTTAGCCCACCGAGACGCTCTTCCAACAGAGACGTGTGTGTGGCAGCATGCCAGTCCCTGGGAGTAGCCAGTGGAAGGACCAGGCTCCCGGGAACACAGAAAGTGGATTCGAGGAACCTTGGGGGGGGGGGGTTACTGGGAGTGACATGGGTCAAATAAATGATGCTGCGGGATCCCACGGCTATGTGTGGAGCACCCTTGGGTTCCAGTAAAAAGGAAAATGGGAGAGGCGGGGGAGACAACCCAATTTAAAACAAATAGAGAAACCTGACCAAGCACTTTATTTTGAAAGCATCAGGGGATTAAGCGTGGGCCAGTGGAAGAGCATCCGCCTAGCATAGGCAAACCCCTGGGTCAGAACCCAGCGCCACAGGGGCTGGGGAAACATCCAAACTGCCATGAACACAAGGGGGTGTTCAAATGTATTACTCAACAGCAAGACGCAAATTAAAGCCGCTGCCAAAGACTATCACAAGTCCCCCAGGCCAGCACCCAGCCCTGGAAGGGTGCAAGATGCTGCAGGCAGGGGAATGGGTACCATATGCCCTCTGTACACCACAGGCTGCTCCAGCACTCATCGTGCACACCTGCTGGCCCACCTGCAGTACCCCACCCCGGGGCTCGTGCCTCGTAGGAATCTGTTTTCACATTCACATGTATTCGTGCACAAGACAATGGGAACAGCTTCAAAACAGAGCCCACCACGCTAGGACAGCAGGTCTGAGCGACGAGCTAAGTGCTCACCCAGCAGAAGGCTCCCCAGAAAGACAGCAGGCGGACTCGCACCATGCAGAGCAGGGGCCCAGTCAGGGTCCACTTACACCAAACTCAAACTAGCTGTGACCAGCCCTCCCTCTGAGGGTCGCCTCTGGGTGGTGACTAAGGGTGACAGCCATGTGTGTCACTTAGTCAAACGCATCCAGCTGGAGCTTTGTGAGGCACACGCTCTGCATGTTTTCAGACCTCAACAGAAATCTTCCTTGAAGCTCCCTTCAGGCACAACCCCCTCTTCCCCCATGAGCGTGGCCCTGCAGCTGCACCCTGGTCACCAGAGGCAAGTTCCGGGTGTATATGCCCACAACAGCAGAAGGTTACTCTATCAGTCTCTAGCCGCAGTGCTGGCCCCTGCTGGAGCAGCAGCCCTCCTCTCACGCCCCACAACAAGTCATGCCCCACAACAAGTCCCATCCCACCACTGCCCACTCTGTCCCGCAGCCTGCTGTGACCCAGCCTCAACACAGGAGCCAGAACAATTGCTCCACACAAACTTGGGCCAGGTCCTGGCAATACTGCACCCTTGGGGGCCCTTCCCGACAGGCCTCACCCCTGCCCCACCCTGGCTTTTTGGGTGCAACGCTTGTGAGCTGGCCTGCTGTCCTGTCTGCACTCCTCACCTGAAGGTGAGCCTCGTCAAGTGGGACTCCCACCCTGCCCACCGCTGCCCCACTTCCTGCCACAGTGCTGACACACGGCGAGACACTTAGCACAGTGGAAATGCTGTATGTAGACAAGCTGTGCTGCTCTGACCAGAGCCAGACAGGCTGTGAGGCACAGGCCATGGCAGGTGGGACCTCAGACATGCATCCTGGCCTAGGCAACGGGAACCTGAACAGCTGCACAGTCACCACTTGGAAAGGCTGTCTCCCTACTATCACTCTCCTGCTAACATCACCTGTTTTTAAACATAAATACAGAACCATCTCTAAGACATTTCTGGGTGACGGAAATCATATATAGGAAGCTTCTGGAAGGGAACATGAGAACTTGCTGTCCCAGAGTGGGGAAGGAGGGTCCAGTGGGAAGTTTGGCAGCCTGCAGGGAGACCCTGCTGCCCTCACCTCTGGAGTTAGTACTCCAGGTTGCCAGCTTTCAGTGCCCAAGGGCTTGTGCTGGGAGGCAGTATGGCTCTGTGTGGCCAGCACGGCCTACAGGGAAGAGCAGAGTGGTGCGGGGCTGCACGGGCAGGGTCTGTCACCCACCATCCACTACTCACAGCTTTCTAAGAGATAAGCAAGTTGGGAAGCCAGTRGCCACCCTGCAGCCGATGGTGGATGAGTGGCACTTGGTGCTTCACTGGCAGGGACACTGGAAGGCAGGCCCAGAAAGAGGGTCTGGAGGGAAGAAGCCCCTCCCTGGATGGGTGGGAGGAAGCAGGAGCTCAGGGAGGAGGGGGGCAGGGACCTGTGCATAGTCAGAATCAGCAGACAGAGGGGTCCCTGAAGCCAGTCTGGGATGTGTCCACACAGCTGACCACCCAGAGGGCACCAGCTTAGAGCCCCCCTGTCCTTACACTTGAAGAGTGACCAAGGGATGATGGAGGTGTGTGACACTTAATCTACGTGGGGGGATGAATGAGGTGTGTGGTGGGCCCTTTTCCCCATGCCTTCAGCACCAGCTGCGAGCTCGAYCCTGCAGCTTGGTGGCCACATGGTTGCAGGCTGCTCCAGTCAGAGGAGTTGCAGGGGACACAGGAGACTGCTGATGTGCCCCAGGCTCCTCCTCCCACTCCCTCTGCACTCCTTCAGCCCCTGGATGGCAGATGGCAGGGAAGGAGGCCAGGGCACATGGCCAGGAGCCAAGGCTGAGCGCTCAGACACCCTTGAGGGAGTGTGCCAGCTGCCAAGCCCCGCAGATGCCCTCAGCCTGCAGGGAGACCCTGCTGTCCTCACCTCTATGAATGGCCTGGCGATCTTGGGCGCGATGGTTTCGCTGACAGTAGGCTCCTGAGAGAGCACCACAAACTCCTCGGCTTTCACTGGGAACCCGGTGTCATCCAGTGGGGAGTGAACCTCAAATAGCTCCTGGATGGTCCGCTGTACACAGAGGAGAGGTCACTCGGCAGGAATGCACAAAGAAACCACCAGACAGCCGCCGCCCCCCCCCCACCCCGCACCTGCACACGGGGCACACCTGGGTCAGGAAGGCCATGGAGTAGTCGTTGCCCTGCGCTGCCACTTCTCGGATCAGATCCTTTGTTCCGTTTTTCAACAGTTTCTCTTCAATYGAGTTGCCACTCACAAGCCTGGCGCAAAAGGACATACAAAAGGCAGCCTGAGACCTGGGGACGTGGCCAGGCCAGGCCAGGCAGGTGCAGGGGGCCAGAGCTGCCCCAGCCGACAGCCCCGATGGCCCTCCGCCTCAGCTCCTGTGCTGGGGGCGAGGGGGCCAGTCTTGACCCGGGGTCATTCCACTGCACCTGCTGAGGTGCTCATGGGACACGACTCTTCACCCCAGCAGGACAGTGAGCAGGCAGGCCCATGGCAGATGCTGCCCTCACGTGACAGGCAATGGAACAAGGGCCCCGAAAGTGGTCTAGGCACAGCCATCAGTCTGTCACCTTCCCACAATGCCCTTCTGCTTTAAAATCTTAAAGGCTAAAACTAAGAAAGCGCAGATTAAAAAATTAAAGGTTTTCAAAAGGGATCAAGTAGAATTTTCCCTGAAATTCCAAACTCAGGAACCTAAACGGAAACCACTCAGAAGGGCACAGAAAGTGATAATCAGAAGTTCCTGGAGAAACTCAGTGCCCAGGCCACAGAAGRGAGAAGAAGTGAGTGAAGGACAGTGGTCCTGGGAAGAAGACATGGAATGTGCTCATCATGCTGGCGTCTGCTCACCAGACCCTACAAAAGCACAAAGGGAAAACTCACCTGGGCCCAGTGTGACCCTGCCTCCACCTTAGCCCACAGGCTCTAAGCAAAGCAGGCCCTGGGCAGCACCAGCACACCTGGCTAAGCAGGCATCTCCCAGGCCCACCCAGGGAGCCTCCTCCAGGCTCAGGACCTGGCACCATCTGCCCACCGTGTCCTGACCCACACTGGAGAGCATACCACAGAACCCCCAATGATCTGTTGTCCACTGGCTGCTCTACCATAGTGTGGCTATCCCTGGCAACAGCCCCCATGGCTCCTGCTCTGTGCCACATGTGGGCAAAGCCACAGCCAGCAGCCTCACATGGCTGGGGAGGTCCTTTGGCTGCCTGTCTTTACCCACGGGAGACCTCCTCCTCCTACCTGCCACGGAGCTGCTGTCCCAAGCTGCTCCACTGGTTGAACTGCCTCTGCACACTGAGGTCTCCGCCTCCCTTTAACAGTAAGAGCATCCTGCGCCTTCCCTCTCGATGGCAGGAGAGCTGCAAGCAGCCCTCCTTGTCTATGGCCCACCACCTGCTTCTGTCCACGGCAGCTTCTTGCTATGTTAACTTTTATTTTGTTTCTGTCAATACTCCTTTTTTTTCCTGCCCAGGTTTTGCGGCCAAGGCTACAGAACTGCCCCCTGGACTCACCCTCAGGGTCCACATGGTGCCAGGTTCTGAGGTGGGCAACAGTGGCCAGTTGCACCCTGACCCTCGGGGCAGCAAGGCGTGTGAGAACACCCCATGAATGGGCGTCATACCATCATCCTTCAGGGATTCAAAAACATGGAAAAGGCCTTTTTTCTATTTTTCTCCAATTAGCTACATTTGGCCAGTTACACTTTCTATGCTTCAAGTTAACAACAAATCTAAATTCTCTCAACGGATGGTTTGTATTTCCCAAACCGTGACTCCCCACTGAGCTGCGGGCGCTCCAGGGAGGTGCAGCAGCGGCACCCACACCGCCACACCTCATTGCGTGCACTCGACACTGCTGCCCAGGGCTCTTACCTGTATATGTGGATGTCCTTGCACCTCCCGATCCGGTCACACCACTCCTGGGCCTTGGCATCCATCACTGGGTTGAGGTCATTGTCATAGAAGACCACGGTGTCCGCCTCCACAAGGCTTATGCCTGTGGCACGGCTATGGGTGGAGAGCAGAGCACAGAAAACCCGCCTGTCTCTGTTGAAACTCCGCATCAGCTCCTGAGAAAGGGCAGAATGCTCAGTTAGCACGCCCAGAAAACTCAGAAGGGCCTCCGGTGTTCCAAAGTCACCAACACTGCAGTGACCTACATCACCATTCCTGTAGCCACGCCTGTGATCCCTGCTGCTTGGGAGAAGAGGCAGGATGACCACAAGCCCAAGACCAACCTGGGCAACTCAGCAAAACCCCACCCCAAGATACTGTAGAATAAAGGTGTGTGTGTGTTGGGGGGGGGCAGCTCAGCAGCAGGGCACCTGCCCAGCATCATAGAGCTCTGAGCCTGGAAATGACAAGACTGCTTGGTTTGGCTCCACGTGACACAAGTCCAGGGGAAAGCGACACCACAGTGTCACCTCTCACGCTCTGCTCTTCCCGCCTGTGAATCGCCTCCCACTGTGATCAGAAGCACCTCTGAGCACTGAGGAGCGCAGGACGTCAGGCAGCCCCCACCCCAAGCATTAACTGTCAGCTCAGCCTGTGGCCCACGAGATCAGAGCCTTGTGGGGAGGCACGTGCTTTCTCTTATATCCTCAGGCAATGCCAGGGCACTTCACAGGCAAAAAAGCCCCTGGAGTAAGGCTGAGGACGGAAAATCCAGTCCGTGCAGAGACCCTCCTGCCCACTCAAGACCATGACCTGAGGGCTGGGGATGTGGCTCAAGCGGTAGCGCGCTCGCCTGGCATGCGTGCGGCCCGGGTTCGATCCTCAGCACCACATACCAACAAAGATGTTGTGTTCGCCGAGAAATAAAAAATAAATACTAAATATTCTCTCTCTCTCCTCTCTCACTCTCTCTTTAAAAAAAAAAAAAAAAAAAAAGACCATGACCTGAAATGGCAACTTGAAAGCTTCTTTGTAAAATATCTCCACACCAGAACAAGACCTAAGAGTTAACCGATCCTCCTCCTTCAAAAAACTACATAAGCTGGGTGCGGGGACACTCGCCTGTGATCCTAGCAATTTGGGAGGCTGAGGCCGGAGGATTGAGAGTTCAAAGCCAGCCTCAGCATATTAGCAAGGTGCTTGGCAACTCAGTGAGACTCTGTCTCTAAATAAATAATAAAAAAAATTACATAAAATTTGCAAAACTACTGCCAGGAACACCAGCTAGCTAGCCCCTCCCTTCTGGGACTGTCCCCATGTGTGTCCACCACAATGAAACCTGCGCATGCTATGAGACGTGGGCAGGTGACACACCCCCCCCAGCACGTGCTCTCCACACAGGAGCACCCCACGGGTGCACTGCTGCTGTCCCAGGGGGTCCTGGGGCGGGTTGGTGGGCCAGCCATCTGTCCACCTCAAGGTGAACTACAGTGTCATGCTGCCTTCCATAAAGTCACGTCAGGGCAACGCCTGGCAGCATGTGCAGTGGGTCTCACACCCGAGGAATCAGAGCAATGTCTAGCCAATCTGATATGCAAAAAATAGGCACGTGCTTCAACCCTAAGTCACCCCAGAGCCACCTTCTGCAGTATGACATCGTCTGGCAGTGACGGCAGGTCAGTGCCTTGTCCTGTTGGGCAGTACGGCCCATGCTAAGAACATCAAGGGAGGAGACAGACTTGCTGCACTCACACTCCTGGGAGGATCAGGGCGACAGTCTACATGGCACACAGAAATGAGGTCCCTAGAGGGAACGTGAACCAGTGCCACTGGGTCACAAATGACTCAAGGTGACGCGTTTCTTACCTGCCGCTGCTCACTGTTGGCGTTTTCATCAATTCTTATATAGGTGAGATAATGGAAGTTCAAGAACATCTCTAGAATGTCTAGCATGAGAACCATCTGGGATAAAATAAGCACCCGACGTCCTTCGGACTTTAGCTTCTGGAGCAAGACAGCTAAAGCTTCTAACTTTCCTAGGAGACAACACCAAGAGCACCCTGCAGTCAGGCAGGTGCATTTCATGCAGCAAACCATGTGGGCAGGGCATCCGCCTACCTGAGTCGAACTGCACCAGCCTCAGCTCGGGGAACTGCAGTGAGCGCAGGGCAGTCAGCTGCCGCAGCTGCTGCGCATAGGGGGCAGTGTGCTCTCGCAGTCGCTGCCTCAAGGTCCACAGCCTGCGTCGGTATAAAGTGGGTGGCCTGGCCACCCACAGGGAAGGGGGTGTGGCCACCACCGGAGGGATCACACAGGCCACCCTGCAGAGCAGAAAGCACAAAGCATACGCCATCACATCACTGCGTGGCACCCAGGGCCCCCTGGCAGGCAGAGAGGTCCAGACGGAGGAGGGCAGAGCTACCTGGCAACAAGTGTGGCAGAGGACAAGGGCATACATCAGGCATTAGGAACAATGCCCTGCGTGGCCTGAGCAGGCCTGACAGTGCAGGGGAAGACAGCCTCTGGGCCACTTCAGACAGCCCAGGCTGCAAGAACCAGCTCAGGGTGTCATAGGCCATAGAGCCAGCTCACAGGTGGCCCCATTTGCCTGAAGTTCCTGCCCATCTGGGAATCTGGGGGCAGGGGCACGCTGTGTTTTAGATGTGATCCCTAGGGCTACTGCAGACACCATGCAGAGGTCGGGTGGAAGGACCCTGCTGATAGCAGGACCATGCCATGGCCAGCCTGACCCCTCCAGGTCACCTGCGCCAGAAAAGCCCTTCCTGTGAACATCAGCTGAGCCTGGACTTTCAATGACTTGCTCCCAGATGTGTTCACATGGAAAGGCTGTCTACAAACTGCAAGGGCAAGCAGCACTTGAAAGAAAGGAGAGTCTACCAGAACAAGAGGCCAATGGCCAATCACACCAGGCCGGGAGGGGCTGGCACTGGCCTGCTCAGCCCTAGGAAAGTGCTCCCAGTTTCCTACCCCCCACCCGCCCCCGTTATCTATCCCTGACCTGAGACCTGAAACAGGCASACACTGAAAGCTGAGCTCAGGGTCTGGAGCAGAACCTCCCTTTAGACAGGGAGTAATGGGGAAAATGTAGTCAGCCAAAGAAGGGGAATCAGTCCCTGATGCTGAGCCCAGACATCAGGGCCACACACATGGGCTGCACCTGAGGTCAGCACCGACAGAAGTGAGCCCAGATTCCAGGGGCTCGAGCCTGGAGCCTGCAGCACTCCAGCACTCGGCTTGTTCTCGACCAAGGCTTGCTCCAAGCTCAACCCTTGTGATATTTGATTGTACATGTAGTTATTTTCAAACTGCTTTTCTAGGAGAGCAGGAGGAAGCTGAGCAGAAGTACAGGACACGGTGTGCCATGGCCCTGCCCCCAGCACTGCCAACATTCAAAGAGGGATRCCCAGCCAACAGTTCTCTGGTCCTAAAGCTACAGACCGCCAACAATGGCTTCAAACACTCCTAAGGGGCAACTCAGGGAGACGAGCAGAGAATAAGAAAATCCAACCTAGAAAACTACCAGGGTGCGGCACTACGAGGGAGCAGAGACCAAGGCCTCTCCCTACCTGGACCCCGCCTTACCTGTCCAGAACGTCCTGCAGAGACTCCTGGCGTCGATTCAAGCTCAAAATCAGATCACCCACGCTTCTCGAGGGGGTTAAGGGAAAGCTCACTGGCCCCGACCTCTTTCCCAAGCTGCGGTCAACGGGTGTGGGCCAGGGCACCCTTCCCCAGCCAGGCAGGGAGCAGATGCGTAGCAAGTCCCTGCCGTAAATGGGGGCCTGGGAACAGCGCCGCTCATTGACCATGTGGACCTGATCCAGCCGCTCCTTCAGAAGCCTGCTCTTCTCCTCCTTTACCAAAAACACAGGTGAAACATGGTCACTGGACAAAAGCATGGCCAGGCGCCTCCCCAGCACCGGGCACAGCCTGGTGTCAGTGCCAGCATCTGCAGCCCTAGGAGCARGAGCACCAGGCTTCCTTCCTCTCCAGGACTCGGGCGAGCGCATCAGTGCTGGGGAAGGGTTGTGACCAGAGCTCACGCTCTCTTCTTTCACTAGTTAGGGTGTGTTTAAAAAATCAAAATTCTGGGGATGACCTTGAGCCCTCAAAGCAAGATGGCAGTTTTTTTGAGGCTGAGAGTCCTCTAAGGAAGCTGAACTCTCGTCAAGTCTGCTCCTGGGTCAGCATCTCCAGGGCCGACTGCCCGGGGTGTGGAGCACGGAACGTGTCCCACTGGCTCCAGGGCGCAGCCCCCATGGGCCAGCAAGAGAGCTGTCACTGCTCTGCTTGGGGCATGAACCCATGCTCCCGGGCTGCAACCCTCACTCTCCTGTCACCGGGGCCAGCATGAGCTGCTGCTGTGTTCCTGGGGACACACAGCAGAAAGCCATCAAGTCAGCTTTTGGGCACTGTGGGCTGTAACCACTGCTGGGCCGACACTCCAACCATCGTGACAGGTGTCAGAAGTGGCTGTTCGTGGTGGGTTCTTTGCCACCTCAAGGACTGACTATGCCTCTCGCCCTGTTCGCCAGGCCACTCAGCCCCAGCAGGGAGAAAATGGCAGTGAGCCCCATGGTGCAGACCTTCACTTGAACACCTGCTTATTTTTAGAACTGTGGAGGAAAAGGTTTGGAGGAAGCATCGAAGAAACTGGGATAGAGTTCTGTACCCTGGTGGATGGGGGTTGGCTCCCAGCTCACAAGACCCGGCCCACAGTGTGACTCAACTTCACATGGGACCCTCTGCCTTTAGTGTACCCAGCTCCACTGTCATCACCGGGGTCATGCGTGGACGTGGCTGGGGAATACCAGACAAAACAAAACACTGGGGATCCAGAGAAGAGACTGCAGAAAATGACACAGATGTGATTTCTGGAGATGTCCCTCTTGGTTCAGTCACCATCAGCCACCGCGGCCACTGGGCCCCAGGCTAAAATTCAAACCACAAACTCCCGCGCCCCAGAGGAAAGCTCGGAGAGCCAGAGGACAGGCCCGCAACCACGTCTCTCTCAGACCACAGCCAGCCTTGGTCCTGGGTTTCAACTGTCCTAGGGACCTGTCCACAGACACACTGCAAGAGGAGATGGGTCACTTCCCACTGTGGGAACTGCTAACGAAAAGGGCACTTGATGAAAACAAAACTATTACAAAAATAAGATGTACTGCAAAAAATGAGTAATTGCCATCAAGGCTCTGAGTCCAGAGAGAAGTGTGGCGAGGCACACGGGCCGGTGCTGCAGCTGGCACAAGGCTTCTGAGGGCTGCCTTGCTACAACCCCACGATGCGTCTGCTAGTGAAGGCCTTACCTGGGTCGGCCCAGTGACAGGAGAGGCTGGCTTGGAGGTCAGCCCTTGTTCTCCCACAGCCATGGCATTCACTGCCACTCGCCCGGGAACTCCAACTACAAGTGCAAAAGAGAGAGCTTAAGGAACAGCCAAGCATGATCCAGTCCCACAGCCACAGCCTGCACCAGGACCAGGGCTCTGGGTATGGGCAGCCACTGGCTCCCTAGTTCCCAAGAGCACAGGGGGCTGGTTCTGCCGTGCTTGGATGTGGCATGTGGCCAGAGTGGGGCACAGACTCCCGGTGACACCCACAGGGATGCTGTGTACCTCCTGCCCGTTGGCCCCGGCCCTGCAGCCTCCTCGGGCCCTCACTGGTGGAGCACCACAATGGCAGGCAGAGGACTACCCAGCGTCACTGGGGTGACTTGGCAGTGGGACTAGAACTGGGCACACACACAGCAGCCAGGGTTCCGGGTCAGGAGGGAGGTGCACTAGCCTCACAGACCTCCTATTGCTTCCACAGGTCAAACTACCCACTTCTCCAAGAGAGAGCACAGGGGTGGGGCGCCCAGGAGACATCGGCAGGAGGCAGGATAGGAACTGGGAATCCAGCGGCTCTGGGGCACGGGCCAGCCAGAGAGGAATGAAATCCTATGGCATAGTCCCCAGGGAACTCAGCATGCTCCCTCAGTGTTATCTGGGACATGTTGGCAAGCAAAGACTCTCATGATTCCCAGAGTCTCCTGTCAGAACAAGATCAAAACAAAAACCTCAGAACAGTGGGGCTGGTCATACTGAACCAGCACCTCTGAGGACAAACGGGGACAGAGGCAGACACCATGACCCAGCTGTGGAAGTAGAGGCGGTCAGAGCAGGGTTCTGACACACCAAGGACCCATGGCCAGGGAGGCCCAAACACCTCCTGAACACTCACAAGAGTCAGGAGGAGGCTGTGGGCCAAGCCTTCCCCCTGTTCAGAACACCCTACCTTGTGGGGTCAAGGGCACAGGGCTGGGGCCGCCGGCTGGGGGCTTGTTTCCCAGGGCACCATGCACCGTGCCCGCCTGAGACATGGTCTGCATCACCACAGGGCCAGGGGCTCGCAGGTAGGGCTGCCCGGGGGCAGATACGATCTGGAGGACACTGCCTGTAATCACACATCCACCAGGGCATCAGTCATGGCAAGGGAGCATCATGGCCACATGTGACAGTCACTTCCAAACCATAGAGAAGCTAATGAGTCCAGAACTGGAGACTCAAAAGTTGAGCACACAAGGCCAAGAGGAGACAGCAGGACCCCAGTGCAGGGCCACACCACAGAGCCTCACCCTCCTGGCACCTCGATGCAGGCAGTGAGCTCACAGGAAGCCCAACCCAGCCCTGCACCTGCCAAAAGGGCCATGGTGGGCGCAGGACTCGAGAGAAGCTGGGTGTGGCCCAGGCCCTGCTGGGCTGCACAGGAGCCACCACTGACTCTGCACCTGCCCCAGTCCCCACGCCTGCCCCCAGGGTGCTCCCCRGAGTGTGCCAACAAAGCCAGAGGTGCCCTGAGGGAGCCCTGCTTCTGAGGCCTGAACACTGGTTGGTAAGGGACTCGCCCACACGGAGCAGCTTCTCCCCCAGAAGAAGCCCTGCCCTGCCAAGCACCCAGGATAGYTCTCATGGGGAAGATGCAGGGGAGGGCACTGGCCCAGGCTGCGGGGCCACCACTCCTAACCCCTTGCTAGCACTAACAGGCAGCTGGCATCACCCCATGGAGGAGCCAAAGCCATTAACTGCTGCCATGCCATCTCTGGAGATGACCCTCATTCCTGCCTTAAAAGCAGCGACTGGATAGGCATGCTGCTCTTGGCCAAAGGCCTGGGAGTTCAAGTGAAAACATCCATCCAGGGTGGCGGTATGCACCTGTGGTCCCAGCTGCTCACCCCAGTCCAGGAGTTCTGGACCTGCCTGGGCAACAGAGTAAAACCCCATTTCAAAACAAAAACAAAGCAAAACAGAAACCATCTGTGTGTAAAAGAAAATAATTTCTCTTACATAAATCTCCAGGAAATCTACTTAGGAAAATTCACCTCCCACTCCTACAACAAATATTTCTAGATAGGTTTACACAATAAGACTCTTTTCAAGGGGCAGATGTCATTAATGCACAGATCAAATAGCCGGAAATCAGGTGGTTTATGAGTGTTACCCACCAGTCCCCTACAACCCCATGAGTTATTAACTCCACTCCCAGGTGAAGAACCAGGAGCCCAAAGGAGCCAAATCCCTTGCCCAAGCCACCCGTGGGCAGGACTGCCCATGCACGGTGCCAGCCTGGCATGCTGCTATTCATCAGCGCCAGCGGCCAGCTCTCCCTCACCTTGCAGCTGCAGGGGCTGGCCTGCCGTGAGCTGCCGCAGCTGGCTGTGCGACAAAGTGAACTTGTTCCCCTGGAACTGCAGCGTCACAGGTGTCTCGGGCTGTGCCACTCGGCTCTGAGGCCCTGCAATGGATGCCAGCTGAGCTATCTTCACTACTTCTCCACCTGGGGAAATGTAGAGGAAAAGCTGAATTAACACCATTTGGGAAAGTCGAGGACTGTTGTGTGATACACCAATCACTTGTGGCGAATGACCATGACCTACAGCAAACTGGTCTCAGCAGTGCTCACTGGACACTGCCTCCAGCTACTGACAAGAGCTACCTTAGGGCTGTGGCGGTGGCTCGGTGGTAGAGTGCCTGCCTGGCATGTGAGGCACTGGGTTCGATTCTCAGCACCACATGTAAATAAATAAAGATCCATCGACAACTAAAATAAATGTATTTTTTTAAAGTGTAGATTGAAAAAGAAAAAAAAAAAAACTACCTTACCAGAAAAAAGAAAGCAATCAGATGATAGATTTTAATGGTTTGCTTATTTAACCACAAACGGTAGGGATTTTAGATGTCAGATATTAATGCTATCAAAAAAAAAGCAATCATTAAAAATAGAAATCTACTTGTAATAAACCTAGAAACCCTGTTATCAACCTAATTCCTTTCAAGAATTTTAAAAATTTTTAAAAAACGTGTCAACTTAAGCTCACAGAGGCAAATAAGATGACACTAGATAAAGGGCTGGGCTGGGGCTCAGTGGTGGAGCGTTTGCCTGACACGTATGAGGCCTTGGGTTGGATCCTCAGCACCACATAAAAATAAATCAAGGTATTGTATCTACCTACAATTAAAAAAAATTAAGGAAAAAAGGAGAGCAATTACATTGGATAAAAAGAACAAACAATTAGCTCCCTTACAATCATATTTTCAAACTCTAGGGAAGTGTTTAAATAAATAAACCATACGTACAGCTTTAAGGGGTAAAGCCTCACACTATCTCGAATTAGATCTCAAACACAACCCCTAATGTGCACTGAGAGGCAACGTGGAACTTGTGGAACTTGGCACTGTTTTGAAAGACCACTGCATATCGTCAGAAGTGCCAACTCAGCAGCACTCGCCCAGGCCACAATTGCCCAGCAGCTCCGATCCCTTGACCCAGCCCTTGACACCCAAGGCCAAGTGTCCCTCCCAGGGAAATCCATGCCAGAACCATTAGTCACACCATAAAGAGAAGGGTTAGTAAGGACCAGGAAAATTCCAAGGATGTCTTGCCACAGAACAGCCGTGAACGAGAGGGGAAATGAAGGCAGGAGACAGATCTACGCGSAGGCTCAAATCCCCGTCAGCCCTCCACGGTCCGCAGGCGGTGGTGACCAGGCAGGGCAGAGAGTGGCTCTGCCCACTGCCATGCTCTCTACGTGGCTCGCCTTTCATGGCTCAGTGACTCTGGCCTCTGATCTCGGGGCGAGCAAGGGCCTTTTCCCTGAGCAGCTGCAAGATGGCCACTTGAGACTGGCATGAAGAGGCTGGGAACGAGGGACGGGCTAGGTGCAGCGCCTCTTGCATGGCTTCCTCCTCCCTTCCCGGCTCTCCAGGAGGCCTCGCCGGGGTCTGGTCACTTGACAAAGTCCGTGAGGCAGTGTCTGAGCAGCACCTCGCCCACGATGTGGTAAGCTGGGACGACTTCCACAGCAGAAAGGACGTAGGCAGGTGGGCTCTGCAGGATGCCAGTCCCCCTAGGCAGCAGCAGGAAGCTCTGCCCTGGGAAAACGAGTGAAGCTGCCCAGTTCCAGCCACTGCATCAAGTTGAGGGTCTCTGCTGGCAAGTGCTTGTTCCAGGCTTGCACCTGACAACCCATGAGGGCTGRGAGGCCGTAGTGCCCACTGCTTTACCACTCGCCCCAGTGGCTGYGGGCTGACGGAGAGAGACCTTGGTGGACACCAGGGAGGTGCTGACCTGCACCCAGTGTGGCGAGGGGCGCAGGAGAAAAGCAGAGCCGAGAGGGTGAGGAGAAAGCGCAGAGAGGAGCAGGGGCCTGGATGCTGCCTCTGGAGAGGCCCACCCCTGGCAGACGCCTTGTCAAGGTAGCGCCAGGCCCGGGCGGCAGAGAGACAGAGGCAATGGACAGCAAAGGCCTTCAGAGTTCCCGTGCTCCTGACACCGCTCAGGGCAGTGAGAGGCAGAACCAGAAGGCAGGGCCACTTACTGGGCAAGCGCGCCTGGGCCTGCGAGGTGAGCACCAGCCGCTGGGGCGGCGCGCTCTGCCCAGCCGCCAGCGAGGGGGCCTGGGGCGGGGGCGGGGGCAGGCCTGGGGCGCAGGCAGGGGCCGCGGTCTGAGCCCGCGGTCGCACAGGATGGGCAGGGCCAGCTGCCGGGCTGGATGTCGTGGTGGGCTGGTGTCGAGCGCTGGCGGAGGCCGGCGAGGTCTGCAACAGGGCCGCTGCAATCGATAAGTCGGTTTGTGCAAAGCCGTTAGCAGTTCTTCTCAACGACAACGCTTCACACCCGAACTTCAAAGAAATTACATAAATGTTACTGCACACTGTCCTCAAGAGAAAAGCCCTCTCGGAAAAGACAGAGGCAGGACGAGGACGGTCCTCAGTGGAGAGACTACCACTGTGCTTTCTGGTGCTCCTCCTCCCGGGAGCAGGCCGGGCGGAGCCAAGCCGGCCACAGCTGCACCCCACACACAGCACGGGGAGGGTGGCCACTCTCATCAGTTGCAGCCCTGAGTCTGCTTACCTCRGAGGAAGAGGTGGGTGTGACGCCAGGAACCTCCGTGGAGGCCAAGACGCCACGTCTGTGACCCCTCTGCCATCTAACCCTATCCGTCCTCAAGTGACCGCCAGTTAGGCTGAAATGATGGCACATGTAATAACAAGCGTCTCCAGCAACGTCCTGAGCCCTCTGCCAAGGTGGCCATCATCACCAACGTGTTCTCAGCCAAGAGAGAGGTTTCTCACACAGGGGAAGCCCAGCGTAAGAAACAAGAACGTCTACGCCTCCTGAAAACTAGACCAGGTGGCTCAACGTGTTGGACCTGCAGGCGCTCGCTAGGGAGCTCCTGGCACAGGGGCCACGACCAAGTGAAGGTACCTTTTGCATCCGGGTTTGCAGAGAACGTGGCGATCGGTGGCCGTCCACGGGCCTGGCCCTGTGGAGGCGCAGCAGCTGTATTGGCAGTTGCTGTCCGGGGCGGGTGGGTGCTGGGGAAGGCCACGGTGCGACCCTCGGGCTTCTGGCCGTACTGCACAGGCTGAAACAACCTGGACACCCAGGGCCCAGGTGAAGACGGCATCAGCCGCTGTAGAGCTCAGGCTCCACAGGGCGGCTGAGGAGCCTGGAGGCTGCCCAGGGTCCCAGCTCCAGGAGCATGGGCCAGGGCAGGGCGGGACCCCTTGATGGGAGAGAAAGGCCAGTGACAAACTGCACTTGAAATTAGTATGTGGACCATGACTCTGTGATATTGGGACAAAAGTGATCTAAACTGTTCAAATAAACATTAGTGTAGATTAGAAAAAACTCCTTCATAATACCCAGGGCACTTCAGGGCCAGAGGGCAGAGCCAGAGCCTCAAGGTGCTGCATAGGAGCGGTGGGAGCCGCCCACGCCTGTCCACAGGCTGCTGCCCCCATGTTATCCCAAGGGAGCACAGCATGCTTCTCCCTCCCCTAGGGACATAAGGGACAGAGGTGGGCAGATGCGGTTGGCCATGAAGCCAAGGGCAGGAAAGGGCAACTGGGGCAGTCTGGCCCTTCGCTCCGGGACTCCTGCTTCCTGTCTTCCTTTTCACCCAAACACTGGGGCCTACCAGTTTCTAACAGCAGGAGTTGGTGCTTCCCAAACCATTCCCATCTCAAGTCCATCACCTGACCTACCTGATCCTGTCCTCCTACCGATCCCCCAAGACCATCACTCCACATCAGTGTATCGCCTAGAGGGACCGCTGCCCTGTGGTGCGGTGGACCCACTGTCCCCCCCCCCACACTCTGCTCCATGAATACGCTCTGTGCCCTGCTGGCGCAGCTGACTGGTCTGGCCATGCCAGCTGCTACTGCATCAGGCCCCTCACACCCCAATGCCTGGGCCACAACCACCATGCATGAGCTGGTGCAGAGTGGAAAGCAGTCCCTATGCTGCCCACAGCCTGCATGGCCACACTCGCCAAAACCATGGTGTCTGGGGAGTTCCCTGGGGAGTGGGCAGCCATATTTGGTTATCAGACTTTACTTCCACCACTGAGCACCCAGGCCAACTGGGCGCTGACCTGCAGCCACACTTTGGATGGGCAGAACAAGCCCCTGCTGCTCCCAGCCCTCACCCACGCACCTACTGGCCTTCAGCTTCACTGCCACTGGCCGGGCTGACGGGGGTGGCGAAGTGAAGGCCTCCTCCATCAGCTTCCGGGTCACCTTTTTCTTAGATAGCAATTCTGCCTCATGGCGAGTGATTTTATTCTCTAATCCAATGAGATCAAATATAGAAAGATCGGCTTCCTAAGTAGAAAAACAAACAAAATAAAATAAAACCCTGCCGCACCAGGTGGCAGAGGACAGCCTGACCAAGAGCCAGACCTGCTAGGGGTGGGAGCCCAGCTGAGCAGGCTCTGTAGAGGGGGTCCTCCCAGCCTGTGAAGCTGGACAGGCTGCACACTTTGGGGCCAGCGCCCCTCCTTAACAAAGGGACCCCGGGAGGGCGCGGGAATGGGGCAAGGGCAGGGTTAGCAGCTGCGGATCACACAGGTGAAGGCAGGACACCCAGGGAGAAGGAGGGCAGTGCCAGGCCTAGTGCCAAAGCACGAGCCTGTGCTTCCTGGCAAGTGCTGGTGAGGGTGGGGAGCAAAAGGCCCTCCTGCCACTGCTGGGGAGGAAGGTGACGCAGCGTAGAACACAGTCAGCAACTTCACCAAGTCAGGTGTAGGGTAACGTGAGGCCAGCTCCCCCACCCAGCACACCCCAGAGAAGCTACAGCCTGGTGTGCAGAAAACTTGGCAGGCGTGTTCTCAGCAGCACACTCATGACAGCCAAGGGTGAAAACACCAAGATGTGCCCCAGCTGATGACAGGGGACACAGCTCCAGGCTGCTCCTGTCAGCGGGTATCACTCAGCCTGGAGACTCAGAGCCATCGGACACCACCACTGGAAGAACTCCAACAGGAAGGCCACAGCCTGGCATGGGGGTGCAGCCTGAGATCCCAGCCACCAGAAGGGAAGCAGGAGGGCTGCAGGCTCCAGCCAGCCTCACCACTTGGCAAACCTCTCAAGGCAAGCCTGAAAAGGGCTGCAGACATGGCTCAGCAGTGGAGCCCTGGGGCTTGATCCCCAGGACTGCAAAAACAACAAGGACCAAAGGATCCCGTTTGCATGGAACCTCAGGACACGCAAACGCACAGACCGAGGTTAGACGGGCAGTGGCCAGGGAGGGGCGAGCAGAGGGGGGACAGGGACTGGAAGCCAACACATGTGGACGTGCGTGGGCTTTTATCTACTGTGTGCCTGGCAGGGACTGGACAGGGCTCAGCTCGCTGAACCCTCCACTTACCTTCCAAACACCTCTCTCCAGTGCCTCTAGGACCAGAGAGGCCGACAGGTACTGCAGAGGCCCTGCCACGTAGGAGGAGTCAGGGACCCGGGGCTCTATCAGCCCGGGGTGGTTGCAAATGCGCTGCAGCCTCATCAGGATGCTCAGGACATTGACAAAGTGACCACTCTTCAGAGCCTCCTGAGTCCTGCTCGGGGAAAGCGCAGTTCAGTCTGACAGCAGACACAAATACTTGCCACTCAGCTCCTCGCTAGCAGCTCTGCTGGTGCCAGGACATGGCACCTACACATCCTCTCCAGATTGGGCTGGCAAATCAGTCACCTCCAACATTCAAGTCCAAATCCCCACACGGCTTTGTTCACCTGCTGACACTTGCACATCTTCACACAAAGATACCCTGGCAGGGAGAGGGGCCAGCCATGCACCAGCACTCAGAGGAGGACTATTACCCTTGTGACTGTGATGAGTCCCCAAGGGCACGGGCACCTGAGAGGCACTGTGAAGGCCAGAGATTACTGAGCCCAGGTGGGATGAGTCTCCTTAGCAGGGCCYCCAGCACCCACTCGGGGCAGGGGTGCAGGTGCCCGACCCTGACTGTGGTGAAGTAGGGCACAGGCAGACCCCAGGGCTCACCAGAGCCAGGTCCAGGAGGAAACGGAAGCTGTAGCATGGGGCAGACCTCTAGGGGGAGGAGGCCGCCCTGGACACAGCATAGCAGGGCCAGCCGCCCCAGGGTGCCACTGGTCTGGAGAGACTCAGGAAACAGACCAGAGCCATGGGAAGGGCACTGCTCCATGACAATGCCACATCCACAGAGGAAGGCCCTGGAGGACCAGGTGTGAAAGTGAGCAGAGCTCAGTGCAGGRCGTGCCAATTCCAGGCACTCAGGGACATCTCCAGAGCTGGCAGCAGCGGCAGGTGTGGAGAGCAAAGAGCTGGGTGAGCAGAGAGATACACACACGCCTGGCCAGCAAGCAGAGCAGGGAGGGAGGGAGGAACAGGGAGGAGTCGTGAAATCACATCACACTCATCTGCAAGTGGCCAACAGAACAAGACAAAGGACAACRGAAGATGGAAAATTCCAGAGATGAGGGACCCAGCACAGGGACTAGGAACAGAAAGGCAGCTCCCTTGGGAGCCGGGAGATGGCAGGGGCACTGTGGGGGTGTGGAGCTGGGTGGAGGGCTGCCCAGGACGGGGCTCCTGGCTGTCAGCTGCAACCCAAGAATGGACAGCTGGACACCTGGTGGTGGCATGGAAGCTCATGTTGACCACCTCTGTGAAGAGGCCACCCTGGGTGCCCTCCAGAGATGGCCATTGCAGAACAGTGGATACTGGCGAAGACAGCTCTGCTTTCCCCAGGGGGACCCACTGCTGTGGGCCCTTAAGCCTCCACGACACATGTGACTCCCAAGCAGAGTCCCACACTGGGGGCATGACAGGGAAGAAGCCCCAAGCCCCACCCCTGGGCAAGGCTTTCCACACAGGCCTGGGCCAGGTGGAAGAGCAACCTCATGCCTCAATTCCCTACACTGGCACATGGCTCGAGAGAAGCTGCCTCCCTGACACTCAACCCACTCCTCTGCCAGCGGCCACCTGTCCCACAGTTGGCAGAGGGCGACGCCAGCCACACAGATGGCAAGCTCCGTTTCTCTATCCAGTTTCTACAATGATCCTGAGTCACATCTGGAGGGGGTCTGCCACTCCTTGCCCCATTAACCATGACTGCAGCCTCCCGCAGACAGCCGAGCAAGGTGCAAGCCAGTCATCCCGCACACTCGCTGGCACCCGACTCCCCAGCAGGCCTTCAGTCACTCTGCAGAAATGCCCAACCATTTCTTGGAGGCACATTGGGGGCCACATATTGCTGAGTGCTACAGACGCGAGAACACCCACCTCAGGACCCAAGGACACCACTGCACACTGGCAGCAGGAGCAGAGAGGCCAGCAGAACCCATGGCTAGCCACTGGGGCCAGGCCTCACACCTGCTACCTCCCTGCATCCTGAGCTATCCTGGCCATCGCTAAGACCGGGGCCATGCAATCACCCTGCACCTGCCCACCTTTGCCACTGCACTTCCTGAGGGTCCTGGCTCTTCTCCCACAGAGCCAGGCAAGGCCCCCTGACAGGTGGGGACCAGGTCCAGATGCAGCACYGGGGACTGCTGCAGTTCTCAGATGCCTCTGAGTAGACGGAGCAGGGAGAAAACACTGAGCAAGAAATCTGAAGTCCTTCGCAGCCGAGCACAGTGGCCACACCTGACACCACCACCCCAGAGGCTAAGGCGGGTGATGGTAAGTTCAAGCCAGCCTCAGCAACTGTGAGAACCTGTCTCAAAATAAAAAATAAAAAGGGATGGGGATGTGGCTCAGTGCTTAAGTACCCCTGGGGTCAGTCCCCAGCACCCAAAATTAAAATTTTTTGGAACCTAGTTTCCATGTTTCTTGCATTTGGTCTTTCTAAAAAGGAAAACACAAAGCCTAACCAAAAGAACCCAGCAGCCAGGAGAGGCCACAGGAGTCCAAAGCAAGTCCACTCACAGCTGGCATGTGGGCACAGCCTCACTCACCACCTCTCCCTGGCTGGGGACAGGGAGGAGGCTGCAGATGGCCAAGGCATGATGTGGCCTGTTGTGGCCAGAGGATCTTCTACAACAGGCACACTGTGCCCACTGACCTGCTCCCCACAGCAGCTACCCCAGGTCCCAGTGCCCCACTGCTGGTGAGAAGGTAAGCCATTGGTCAGCGTGTTGTCTCAGCAAGCCCACACTGTAGGCCCTGGAGCCACCCAGGTAGCAGCAGCAGGAGCTGAGTGGACATCATGCCACACATGTGGCAACTGAGGCTGGCASAGTGGCAAAGAGGATGAGCCAGGTTGAGCCCCAGACTCAGGGACAAGAGCTCCTGCCGAGCTCCCTGCGACCAATAGCAGGCAGGCCCACGCCCAGCCGGCACTCACCCAGGCTGCAGGATGACGTCCTCATACAAAGCTTTCTGCCGACTGGACAGGCGGCACTTGAGGACGTGCTCATACTTCCTGGTCAGCTGCTTCTCCACATCTCTTTTAGTCCTCCGCAAAATAAACGGCTGTGTCACCTAGAGGGAAACAGCAGGTCTTTGTTTGGCAATCCACCATATCACGTCTATCCACGGCAGGCGGCCCCATTCCACACAGGCAGACGTACCCGGTGCAGCCTGATGACCACCTTGTGGTAGTAGTCCTGGTTCTCCTCGCTGGGGGCTTTCAAGGGGAAGCTCAGGTAGGGCCTGGAGATCCCGGGGATGAGGAAGTGCACCATAGTCCAGAGCTCCAGGAAGGTGTTGTGCAGCGGCGCATCAATCAGGAGAAGACGCTGCTGGCTGAAAACAAGATGAGAGCATTCTGGGAGGACCAGAGGCTGGCCACCAGGGCAGCCAAAGGAGGCCTRCCTCAACAAAGAAAGGGCTGGGGGGTCAGTGAGCACATGCCCAGCCAACCCAGCAAACATGAAAAACRGGGCAGCACTGAATGCTGGGATACGAGGAGGTGGTTCATGACGACCCTCCTCTCTGGTGGCGTCTGAGAAGGGTCAGCAGCTCCACAGAGCAAGGCACATGCACACGGTCCTGAGGAGAGGGGCTGAGCCAACAAGGTCAGTAGCCTCCCCTGCCCAGGCCCTGATAAAGGTAAAGGGCGACTCCCTGGACTAAGACAGCCCCCCATGTCTGCAACAACCTGTGTCCTCCAAAAGAGTCCACAGGTAACAAGAACAGCTACAAAGCCCTCAGGACAGTGGGTTGCACCAGCCCTGGAGTGGCAGCAGACCTCTGCAGGGTGAAAACGGCCTCCCAGTGCCGCTCAGTCAGGCCCTTCACACGCTGCATCTCGTCGATGACAAGGCACTTCCAGCGCACTCGTGAGAAGGCAGGGTAGCCTCTGAAGAACTGCTTGTAGGACGTGATGCAGATGTGGAAGCTGTTGGGCTCGGCCCACTCCTGCAGCAGAGAGAGCGCCACCTTCCCACCAGGCCTGCCCCGCGCCCCGAAGGCAGGCCACACACCGAGAGCAGCCCCACGGAGCCGCCTGGCAACCTGCTCCTGCACATGACTGGCTGCGCTGGCCTGCTCACCTTTTCCTCCAAGCTAAAGCTCATTTGTTGACAGATCAAAATGCCTTGGAAGCAGTGACAACTGCCATTTGGAAAATATAGAGATTAGCCGGGCACAGTGGCACACACCCCATAATCCTAGCTGCTCGGGAGGCTGAGACAGGAGGATCGTGAATTCAAAGCCAGCCTCAGTAACTTAAATGCCCCATCTCTAAATAAAACATAAAATAGGACTGGGGATGTGGCTTAGTAGTTGAATGCTCTTGAGTTCAATCCCTAGTACCGGGAGGAAAAGAAAAACCCAAAGGAAATTGCCAAAGGGGACCCTGAAGGCGGGCAGTGTCTGTAGTGGATAATCTGAACAAGTAAAAACCGTGTTCAGAGAATGTGGATACCTGCTGGCAGCTGACCGCTGTATGAAGCTTTTTAAAAGCAAGTTAGTAACTACATACAAAGTTTTGGTTTGAATGTGGCCCCTCCAAAATTCCTAATAAGCTGAACACCTGCTTATTAGGAATATAAAAGGAGGGGCCTTCTCTACCCTCATGGGCAGGTGGGACCCTGACCAAGGCTGTAGTGAACAGCTGATGCTTCTGCCTGCCCCACACAAGGACTCATAAATGAGGCGCCATCTGGTCAGCCAATGCTAGGCCTGCACAGAACAGGGACCACGAATGTCCTGGCCTCATACTCCTGCCTCCTGATCCTCAGGAAGGAAGGCCTGTGTGTGGAGGACAAGTATGTGGCCTCTGGCACGGGTAGAGACTGACAGGCAGCACACGGGCCCCCACTCCACACAGTCCGTCCCCAGTGAGCCAGAACTGGAGACGCAATGAAACCTGAGGTTAGCGCACACTGGGCTGAGGGCCGGGGAACCGCAGTGGGGAGGAGGGTGGGAAGCTGCCCTGTGAGTTGTGAACCTTTCCAGGAACGCTGCCCTGGAGATGCCCCTGTACGTCTGTGACCCTGAACTCAGGATGCGTCACGACCTCTCACCCAGGCTAGCGACACTCAGCGTGGGCCTAAGGCAGAGCACCACAGCCTAGAAGGAAACATGGTGTGCCTGCAAAGGGCAGACTCAACATGCGTTAGGAAGCATGACTTCGCATTCTGAAATGTCTTCTACGAAAATTAAGCTGGTTCTACATTCAGTTTTATTTCGGAGAGAGAGGTACCTGTCTCTTTGCTTTGAGTTCTCTGTGGCTGCCAACGTAGGAGAGGGTTTTGAGCCCAGGACACCAGCGTTTCAGCTCAAGTTCCCACTTGAGTATGTTACAACTTCTCACGACAACAAGATGGGGGCCCCAGTTACCTACAAAAGAAACCAGAATCACTTTAAAATAACATGTCAACTCCAGGTTCACTGCGATGGCTTTGAGCAGAGAACTGACAMAGTAGGTGCCAAATGGACCCGCATGGGAGGACACCAGCCATGAAGGGGAAGGCACGCTGCCCTCCCTAGTGCCAATATCCCGGACTGCGCAGGCCCCTAAGGAGCACTGCTGAAGACAGAGTAGTGAGAACCCAGGTGGGTACATACCACGGAGACCCCACTGCAGGAGGAACTGCCCCCGAGAACCACAGGCGGGAGCAAGAGAACAGGCCATGCCCTCCCCAGAGCAGCAGGCATCTGGCAGCACAGGCCCATGTTGCTTTGGCAACATGATGGACAGATCTGCTCCTCACGGACACTGATCCCTAGCCACAGCACACCCAAGCCACCCAAGTAGGTAGTGGGAAAATTAAGGATCTAAAGCTACTCAGTGTAACACAGACACAGCAAATTCAAATTCCACACAGTAACTGAAACACAAATCAAGTTAAAAAACAGAATGGCAGACTTCAAAAAATACGTTATGTCTACAGCCACTACTAGGGAGGCACGAAACAATGACAAATCGCCAGGGGAAAACGGGCCTCAGTAGAAACAGGAATGCACGGAGAACAGAACACCAGAGGGCGGCAACTCTGCAGAGTAGAGCCCCTCGTGGGAAGGCTACCCCAGGGCCGGCACACCCGGTACCAAACAGGACACTCGACATGTGGCCACCTGGGAGGAAAACATGGCTGTGCCCACACACGTCTGCCAAGGTGGCCATTGGACAGGACACTTGCCACTTTGCCCGTGGTCCGCATCAGGGAGGGAAGTAAGCAGACCAGGGACACCTCCTCTCCCTGGAAAGCAAGAGAAACCCTGTGCCCTCTGGGTGCTGAGCCTGGGACCAACTCTGTGGGCTGATCAGCAGTCCTGATGGAAAACTTGAGGAATGCACACTGCTCTGGGTGCGTCCTGCTGTCCAGGAGCAGCAGCCGAGAGACAGCAACATTCCTGCCCCAAGTGAGAGACCCCCGAGATCTACGCCAGCAGAGTTAGAGCAGGCGACACACACTCCGAGCTCCTCCTCCCAACACCTGCAGATCTGCACCCTCCTGGCCCAGCTGCCACCTCTCAGTGAAGTGCACCCTGCCCCTTCCAGCCTCTGCAGCCACCAGCAGAGCAGCCCAGAGCCCACCTCCCCCAACACAGGGCCAACACTGAACAGACCTGGCGTGAGGCAGAGCCACATGAGCACACACAGGCCTTATAGCCCCAAGGCTGGCCCRGCCCTTCTGCCTCCCCTGCCTGTGCCCTCCAAGGACAGATGAGACAGATGACCTCCAGTCTTTACCACAGTCACTGCCCACCACCCAAGGCTTCAGTGACCTGCAGAAGCGAGCAAGTTCAAAGCCAGCCTCAGCAAAAGCAAGGCCCTGAGCAACTCAGTGAGACCCTGTCTCTAATAAAAAACAGGGCTGGGGATGTAGCTTGTGGTCGAGTGCTCCTGAGTTCAATCCCTGGTACAAAAAAATAAATGAATAAATAAATGAATCGCATAATATTGGGTCAAAAAACAGAAACAAATTAATGGAAGAAAATTAGAAGAGCAGAAGCTGAAGCACTTTTATGTACTTAAAAACTGATCATGAGCCAGGTATGGTAGTGCAGGCCTGCAATCCCAGCTATCAGGAGGCTGAGGCAGAGATGGCAACTCTCAGGCCAGCCCGGGCATCTTAGCAAGACCCAGTCTCCAAATACAGAAGGGAAAAGACTGGGTGTGGCTCAGCATAGAGCACCTGGGTTCAATCCCCAGTCCCAAAGGAACAAAGGCCGTGCCCAGGCATTCCCACGGTTCAGTCTGGCAGACCTGGCCTGCTCACCGGGAACGGCAGGCACTCACCTTCGTTACAAGCGAGATGAGCAAAGAAAGCGATGACCTGCACTGCCTTGCCCAGCCCGGCCTCGTCCGCCAGGATGCCGTTGAGGTTCTTCCGGTACAGCTTGGCCAGCCAGTCCAGGCCGATCTTCTGATAATCTCGCAGGGCACCGTACAACAAGGAGGGCGCGCTGAACTTCACCTGTGACAATGACAGTAGAGGATGCCCGCCTGTGAGAACTGTCATCAGACCTTCCTCACACGGCAATCAAAGTGGTTGCGGCAAACTGGTGGGAGCAGACATCCATGGGACACGGAGAGAGAGGACTGCCTCTCCAGCAGCACGAGTGGCCAGATTAGAGCAGGTCTGGAAGCCGCTCACCCCCAGCGCCTCACCGTGGTGGTGACCCGGGCGCTGCCCTTGGGCAGCACAGCCTCAGCCACAGCAGTGACTTCTGCGATGTCCTTGGTGTTGGGCTTCCCCACGTTCACCCTCTCTGTAGCTTTGAACTGATCCATGATGAAGAGGGAGTCTATGAGAACCAAGTCCCTGCGGCTCTCCCTGTCACTGGGACAGTCGTCAGCATCTGGAACAAGAAGAAACAGGTGGGTGGAGCAGCTGCTGTGCCTGTTACAAGCCTTGGTGTTAAAAAGAAGGAGGGAGAACAGGGAGGAGACACCTGAGATACAGTACTGGGCAGTGGTCTTCTCGTCTGTGACCCACCCTATGATCTGCAAAACTGTCTGAGCCACAGTGGACAATGCTGTGAAGTGCCACGCTCAGGACCCTTCTGAGAAGTTCTGGAGTGTGACTGGCCCACACTGCTGGGCGTTTGAAGGAGTTCTCTGTATCGACTGGCCACCAGTGTCAYAGGAAGGCTTATGGTAAATCCCCGGCCCAGGGCCAGGAAAGCATAAGTCAGGATGTCTCCCAATCAGGAACCAGGAGGCGGCCCACCCCAGACCCCAAGGTCCTAAAGGGCCTGAGCTCCTCAGGGACCTTCAGGCACCTGTCTTGGTCTCTCACGGCCTCACCCCTGCCTATGTCTAAGTGGAATGAAAACAGGACAGGGAGACATTTTTGGAGTATTCTGGGTATTTATCAGGAATATTTATTAATAAAAACTAAAACTACTTGAAACATGTTATACCAACACAGAACAGCTTGGATAAATATGATAAAAACCTAAGTTCATAAAATGACAAGCCCTATAAACTAAAAGGAACCCCCCCAAGATCCCGTGACTAGTTAATCAGTAAAAAGCACAGAATTTAAAGTTCACTCAGTAAAACGTTAAACAGTAAATACATTTGACTAAAAGAAAGGTGAAGCAATGCTTTTAGGTCAGCTTCAAGCCTTCTGGTAGGGGGCTCCGGGTCTAGCTGCTGGGCCCAGCTCCTGCCACGCCTGAGACCTACCCTCCTCTCCGCTCGTCTCGTCACACTCGGGGTCAGGTTGGGGCCACTGGAAATTTGGCAAAAAGGCACCTTCATACAACTTCATCAAATCCATCAGGGGCAGCTCAGCTGGGAAGAATATAGGAAGAAGATCGTCAGTCACACCACTCGCCCGAGGGTCAGCAGGCAGGAGATGCGCCCTCTCTGCTGTGGAGAATGCCTGCACAGCAGCAGAGGCTGTGTCTGTGTCACCTGTTGTGCCTGGGACCACAAGTGTCTCTGATGTCTAATGTGCAGATTTTCAAATATCTTGAGCATTCCTTAATCAGAAAATCTAAAGCCCAAAATGTTCCAAAATCCAAAACATTCTAAGCATTATTTTCTTGATGCTTGAAAATTTTTGTATTTCAAAGCATTTCAGATTTTGGATTTTCAGATTAGGGATATCCAAAACCTGCAATTTCTAAAAGCACACTTATTTTTTTCTAAAAACTAAGAGGGTTGCCATTACTGACACAGGTCTAAATATTTTCTTCAAAGTAGAATGAGATCTTTGAAATACAATGAGAAACAATTTTCATTCATAAAAGAACAAAACTTTTTATCTGAAATCATCTGATAAATGTATGGTAACACACACAAAAAAAAGTAGCTGGGGGGGGGGCTGGGTTGTGGCTCAGTGGCAGAGCCCTTGCCTAGCACGTGTGAGGTTCTAGGTTTGATCCTCAGTATCACATAAAAATAAATAAAATAAAGGTATTATTTCAAACTACAACTAAAAAATATATATTTTTTAAAAAGTAGCTAGGCATGGAGGTGCACTCCAATAATCCCAGCTAGACAGGAGGCTGAGACAAGAGGATTATACATTCGAGACCAGCCCAAGAAACTTAACACAATCCTGCCTCAAAATTTAAAAAAGGGTTGGGGTGTAGCTCAGCCAAGAGCACTTGCCTAGCATGTGTGAGGCCCTAGGTTCAATACTCAGCACAAGGAAAAAATAATGCCATTGGTGTAAAACAGCAGATGATTATGATAAATTAAAACACTAAGAGTCAAATAAAAATATTACAGGAAAAAGTTCAAAAAGCATGGCAAAAGGTCAAAGCTTCTATGCACTCACCCTAATGGCTTGAAAGAAATCACCACAATAAAAGTACAATTGCCTGGCAAAGGACTTGAAGATAATTTACACAAAAAATACACAACAGGGCAGGYTCAGGGGCACACCTAGAAACCAGCAGCACACAGCCAGCAGTCCAAATCTGCAACCATCTCAAAACCACATCACTGCGGAAATACGTCAACAGACCCTGAGCAATTCGGAGTGGGAGAGAGTGGTCTCTTCTAGACACCAACATAGGAAGTTGAAGAGCTTTAACACTTGAGCCCCTTGAGATCATCTCATGTTTCCCATAGAAGGACTAGAAGCCTGGACCCAGGTTTGTGTTCAAAGCGCCACACGCCGCTATCTAACTTAGGAGACCAAGATGCTCAGGGCAGGCGACCTCTGCGTGCATACTGCATACTGACCAGCTGTGAAGTCAGCACAACAGGCCACACCAAGTGCCCGGGACCCACTGCAGCCTTGCCCATCTGCTGAGAGCCACAGCTGAGTCGGAATGACTCGTGGTTGACAGGTGATGCCAGCGAGCCATTGAGATGATGATGATTATGTTAAGCTGTGTATTCAATTGTATATTAGACCCCTGTGGTCCACCTTGGCCTGCTACTTTGGAGTTCCCATTGGTTGGGGAAGTGCCAGAGGAGGGAGTTCTGGTTGGAGTGTGGCGTGTTCCTGGGTGGTGTTCGGGAGAGTTCCCAGGGAGTGTGCTGGTTTAGTTTGGAAATAAAGTTTGTTCCTGCTTSAGTGGCTCGTGATTTGTGCCCAGCGAGACTGCGGCACCCAGCTGAGATGGTAAGGCAGGAGTCTCCTTGAGTCCCTCCATTTATGATTTAAATTATCCATGGCACTGGAATGACATCAAGGAGGAGATTAAAATATTCTTAGAGGTAAAAAGAACATAGATACATCCTATCAAAATCTCTGGAACATTGGGAAGACAGTACTAAGAGGAAAGTTCACTGCATGGAGCTCATTCCTCAAAAGAAGAAAAATGACTTAACATTACATCTTAAAGCCCTAGAAAAAGAAGAACAAATTAACTCCAAAAGCAGTAGAAGATAGGAAATAATTAAAATCAGCACTGAACTCCATGAAATTGAAACAAAAGAAACAACTGAAAAAGTTGACAAAACAAAAAGTTGGTTCTTTGAAAATAAATTAACAAACTCTTAGCCATGCTGATGAAGAGCAGGAGAGAAAACTCAAATTACTAACATAAGTGATGAAAAAGGAAATATCACAACAGACAAAATAGAAATACAGAAGATAATTAGAAATTATTTTGAAAACTTGGACTCCAATAAAATAGAAAATATCAAAGGCATTGACAAATTTCTAGAGACATATGATTTGCCCAATTGAATCAGGATGATATACACAATTTAAACAGATCAATTTCAAGTGATGAAATAAAAGGTGCCATCAGAAGCCTTCCAACCAAGAAAAGCCTGGGAGCAGATGAATACACAGCCAAGTTCTACAAGACCTTTAAAGAAGAACTAACACCAATACTCTTCAATGTATTTCAGGAAATAGAAAAAGAGAGAGCACTTCCAAACTCATTCTATGAAGCCAATATCACCCTAATTCCAAAGCAGACAAAGACACTTCAAAGAAAGAAAACCTCACACCAATATCTCCAATGAACATAGATGCAAAAGTTCTCAATAAAATTCTGGCAAATCAAATACAAAAACATATCAAAAAGATAGTGCACCACAATCAARTGGGGTTCATCCCAGGGATGAACAGGTTGGTTCAACATATGCAAATCAATAAATGTAATTCATCACATCAATATTAAAAATAAGAACCACATGATCATCTCAAGAGACATAGAAAAAGCAATCAACAAAATACAGCACCCCTTCATATTCAAAAGACTAGAAAAACTAGTGATATCAGGAACATACCTCAACATTGTAAAAGCTATCTATGCTAAGCCCCAGGCCAACCTCATTCTAAATGGAAAAAATTGAAAAGATTCCCTCTAAAAACTGGAACAAGACAGGGATGCCCTCTTTCACCACTTCTATTTAACATAGTTCTTGAAACAGTGGCCAGAGCAATTAGACAGATGAAAGAAATTAAAGGAAAACAGATAGGAAAAGAAGAACTCAAATTAGCACTATTTGCTGACAATGTGATTTTATACCTAGAAGACCCAAAAAATTCCACCAGTATAGAACTAGTAAATGAATTCAGCAAAGTAGCAGGATATAAAATTAACACCATAAATCAAAGACATTTCTGTGTATCAGTGACAAATCCTCTGAAAGGGAAATAAGAAAACTACCCCATTTACAATAGCCTTGAAAAAAATAAAATACTTGGGAATCAACCTAACAAAGGAGGTGAAAGACCTTTACAACAAAAACTACAAAACACTAAAGAAATTAAAGAAGACCTTAGAAGATGGGAAGATCTCCGGTGTTCTTGGATAGGCAGAATTAATATTGTCAAAATGACCATAGTATCAAAAGCATTATACAGATTTAATGCAATTCCGATCAAAATCCCAATGGCATTCCTTATAGAAATAAAAAAAACAGTCATGAAAATCATTTGAAAAAAATAAAGAGACCCAGAATACCTAGGAATTAAACTAGAGAATCTGCGTCTAATAGAAGAAAAAKTAGGCCCACATCTCCATCATATCGGATTAGGCCCCTACTTCCTTAATAAGACTCTTATAGCATGAGAATTAAAATCAAGAATTAATAAATGGTATAGATTCAAACTAAAAAGCTTCTTCTCAGGAAAAGTAAAAATTGGTGAGGTGAATAGAGAGCCTACAGCTGGGGAGCAAATTTTTACCACTTGCACATCAGAGAGAGTACCAATCTCTAGATATATAAAGAACTCAAACAGCTAAACAGCAAAAAAAAAAAAAAAAAAAAAAAAAAAAAAAAAAAAAAAAATGGGACAAGAACCCAAAGAGACACCTCTCAAAAGATGATATACAATCAATCAACAAATATATGAAAAATTTTCAACATCTTTAACAATTAGAGAAATGCTAATGAAAACTACTCTAAGATTTCATCTCACTCCAGTCAAAATGGCAGCTATTATCAATACAAACAACAATAAGTGTTGGCAAGGATGTGGGGAAAAAGGCACACTCATATACTGCTGGTGGGACTGCAAAATGGTGTAGCCAATATGGAAAGCAGTATGGAGATTCCTTGGAAAATTGGGAATGGAACCAACATTTGATCCACTCCTTGGTCAATACCCAAAGGACTAAAAACAGAATACTACAAAGACACAGCCATATCAATGTTTATTGCAGCACAATTCACAATAGCTAAACTGTGGACAACCTAGATGCCCTTCAGTAGATTAATGGATAAAGAAAATGTGGTATAGATACACAATGGAACATTACTCAGTAATGGCATTTGCAGGTACATGGATGGAGTTGGAGAATATAATGCTAAGTGAAGTTAGCCAATCCCAAAAAAACAAATGCTGAATATTTTCTCTGATATAAGGAGGCTGATTCATAGTGGGGTTTGGAGGGGGACAAGGGAGGATTAGACGGACTCTAGATAGGGCAGAGGGGTGGGAGGGGAAGGAAGGGGGAAAGGGGGCAAAAAAGATGGTGGAATGAGATGGACATCATTACCCTGAGTACATGTATGAAGACACGAATGGCGTGAATATACTTTGTATACAACCAGAAATATGGAAAAKTGTGTTCTATATGTATAATATGAATTGTAATGCATTCTGCTATCATTTATATAACAAATTAGAATAAGAAATTTAAAAAATATATTCTATTGCTATTTGACTTTTCCTTTTTGATTTGTAAATGCTTATATTAAAAATATTAATCCTCTGTCAAAAAAAAAAATCCACACACAGAATCACCAGGTACAGGCTGTGAAGTCATGTTTAAAGAAATAATAGACAAGGAAGATGTGAACAAAGGTGGGGGGGTCGGGGTGCCACTCAGTGGCAGGCGCTGGCCACACRCACAGGCCCTGGGTCCACCCCAGAGCCACCAAGGAAAAACAGTGTCTGCAAACAACTGTGCTAGCAGAAATTTAAAATTCAGTGGCCGGGTCGGCCATTGGCTAAGTAGAGCTTAAAACAGTTATGAAATAGAAAAGAAGAGGAGAAACGTGTGCCCAGTATCATGACAAGAAGTGACTCAATCTGCAGATCAAGGGGACAAATATGACCACTAAGGACACTGAAGAGCAGATCCCGCCATCAGCAGGCCACACACAGGGCCACCTGCAGCACTGCACCACAGCTCTGCCTGTGTCCTGGTGAGGGGAATGGGGGCATGCGGCACTGGTCCCTGGAAAATCCACCAACACCGAGTGCAGATGATAGGGACGTGCCATCCTGCCAGTGCAGTCAGTTCAGATGAAGAACCACGTGGCCACCCCCAGGGTGGGTCCAGAAATTAAGAGAGGCGCGTGTGTGAGCCACAGGATAATATACACATACACACGGGAAATCCGAAAACACTCATACTGAGTAAGACCAGAAATTAGGTCTTTTAATGTTTACGTTAAGGAGGTGATGAAAATGGACRAGTTAATGATCCACCTCCAGAAATAAGAACACAAGAGCAAAAACAAAATACAGAGGAGTCGGGCATGTGGCACACCTGTGATCCCAGCTGCTCCGGAGGCGGAGGCAGAGGCAGGGGATCACAAGTCCCAGGCCTGCCAGGAGACTAGAAAAATAAGGCAGAGGAGGGCTGGAGGACACCCTAGGGTCACGATCCAGTAATTAAAAAAGAGAGCAAAAGAAGAAATAGTAAGAGCAGAAAATGGCAAAACAGAAGACAAGATACAGACTCAAGGTAAAAAAGACAAGGACACAGACAAACCTGGGCTGAGTGCTCAAGGAAATGGGAAGGGCCATCAGGACAAACAGCAGGGGGCTCACCTGGACTAAGCCATCAAAGGCCCAGACAGTGCAGCCCTCAGCTAACCAGGAAGAGGGACAGAGCCCTGCACTGTCCCACAGCCACCTGTGTCCCGTCCCAGGTCAGGACAACCTGACCTGCAGTCCACGGCCAGCTTGTGTACTCTGTGCACAGCGGCACAGGTGCTGAACAGAGCCCGAGCAAGAAGTCGAGCAGCAGACACAAGGGGCTTCAGAGTGCGGCCACACGTGAAAGCAGCCCACCATGACTGACCTCAGGCAAGACGCCACCAACCGAGGCCTTCAAGGACAAGCGTGCAGGAAGCACGAGGCCCATGAGTGACAGAAGGGCACACAGCTGGTAAAGGCCCTGCCTCAGTCCCACGTGTGGGCCCAAGAGCAGCCTAGGAAAGCCATCCTCACACCCTCCCACAGCAGCAGCAAAGAGCAGAGCTCACACCAAGACAGGCCCTACACTCCAGCTGCAAAACCACCAGGGAGACGCCAGGGGAGAACAGACAGCCTGACACCATCCCAGCTGGGCAGCAACAAACAGATCTGCACAAATAGGCATGACTCTACCCGTTCCGCTCTGCAGAGACCAGGGAGAGAGTTCAGCCAAGCTGCTGAACATGGGATCAAGTGTATGCCTGCTTCTCAGGACCTGGGAGACTGAGGCAGAAGAATCGCAGCAGGTTCCAGGCAAGCTTGGCACCCAAGCAACACTCAAAATAAAAAGTGCTGGGCAGGGGTGCATGTAGCTCAGTGGCAGAGCACCCTGGGTTCAATCCCAAGTACTAAGTAAATAAAGAAAATTAGAAGTAGTGCCCGGAATACATAAAGAACACGCACAGGACAACAAGGCAAAGAAACCCCACACTAAAACGTGACCCAGGCAGCCCATGAGAAGCCCCATGAGAAGATGCTCCTCACCAGCTACCAAAGAACCGTGCTCCTACACCCCAGGAAAACCTCATGGCAGTCTGCGCAGAGTCCGACTGTGGCATGCAGAACAGCCACATTCCACAGAAGATGCAGAGCGGCAGGCGGAGCAAGCCCAAAGAGCCCTGCAGTCCCTCCCGGGGCAGAGTGCTCCGTGCCACACAAAGGAAGAGAACACCCCAGCAGCCCTCCTGCCCACAGAATGTGACCCTGCTGACATGCAGAACATCGTGGGGCACGAGCCCAGTGTGTGTGAAGCCACAGTGGCAGACGGGGAGGGAAAGCAGAGGACGATCCACCAGAAGGGCAGAGGCAGCAGCAGGTGGGACAGGAGTAGAGGCGAGCAGCACCACATGTAGCTTCCAGCAGGCACCAGCACTGTCCTCGTGAACTGGGTGGCCTATGGCAATGTGACCTGCATACTGCTACCCTGTGTCTGATGTGTCATTTCTGAATGCACTTGAGGTCGGCTGGGAACAGCTCAGTCAGGGAGCCCTTGCTTTCCAGGTGCAAAGCCCTAGGTTCAATTCCCGACACCACAAAAAATATTAGCTTCTTGTCAGAACAGGCTTCTTCCTCTCAAGACAGCCTGCAACCTAACCTCCCTTGAATGTGTACTTTTTTCCTGAATAAATCACTGTGCCTCAATAAAAAATAAAAAGAAAGTTTTTGTTTTTGTTTTTGTTTTGAAAAATCACGTGCCTATCTGATGTCTAATAAACGCAACGTAAGTCAGTGCCGAGAGCCTACCTTCCCTGGCCAAGTTGGACAGCTCTGTGTGGTGGTCCACAAGCCCTTCATGCGCTTCCTCCTCTTCAATGGTCTCCTCTTCATCTTCCACTGAAATGGGCATCACCAAAGGTCAGGGACAGGCCAGGCTCTCAGGGAGTACCTAAACATTCCCCACTGAATTGACAGCCTTACTACTAAAGAAACTGCGAGTGGGCACTGGAGCCCGCTGGCCAGCCCTGGCCTGCTGCCTGCTGCAGAGGTAAGCAGGGAGCATGCTCTCCCCCACCTTCAAGAGGCAGTGAAATCCTGCTTCCTCACAGGACAGGCCACAGGGAGTACCACCAACTTCCCACTGACTGCCCAGCCCCACTGCAGAGAGGTCCACGGGCACACAGCTTGGCCCTGAGCTCTCAACCCATCCCCAGGAGGAGTAGGCCATGCCCAGCCCACACCCTCCCAGCTCTCCTGTGCCCTGATGCTACCAGCTCAGACGGGCTCCACCCATCTATCTTCAGACTACAGCCCACACCCTCTCTCGTCCTGGCAAATCAGAGCTGGTGATGTCCTAGCAGCAAAGCCCTCCACCATGGACCCCACTCCCCTGGGGCCCGGCTAGGGTGATGCACCCTCTCTCTCAACAGCAGCCCTCAGCAGGCTCCATCCAGTGGACACCCATGTATGTCCTGCCTCCATCCTACGAGCACAATGCACAAGCAATTCAAAGCCTCTCCCACCCCAGTCCTCACTTCCTCACTTCCCCACCGTCCACCAGTGGAGCTGCTGGAGGGAGGCTTGGCCCTAGGACAGGGAGTGGGTTGGAGAGGCACACAGTGGGGGAGCAAGGCCTGAAAGCACCTGGGGTGTGTACCCAGGCACCTTGGTCATCTAAGCCACGGTCACCTGCTCCTGCCTTTGCAGCAGAACATGATCCTAACTGGACCAAAGATGTGGCCGAGCCCTTCTGCCAACTGATGCACACCAGAGCCTCAGACTTCCAGAACCTCACAAAGCTGGGCCACCAAGCCAACAAGACTGCACTGTCACTACAGGTGCACTGCTCAGACTGCCCACTCCTGCCCTATCCACAGGATCTGCACACACACAGGTTAGAAGCCAATGTCCCAGAATGCCCAGCTTACTCACACCTGGTGGCTACACCTATTTCACTCTTCAGTGGGTGCTAATGCCTGAACACCACAAGTGTGCCTCAAAGGAGCCTGCAGCAGGCAACTGTCATCTTGGACTGAAGGCAGCAGGCACACCTGGCCGCAACCTGACACATCCACCCCAGTGCACCAGGGCCACCCTCAAAGACAGGCACTCAGATGTGCCATCTGAGCAAGTGGCCCCAAGACCCTCTAAATGCATGAGGGTCGCCACATCCCACACTCAGACACCACCGCGGGCTCCATGACCCTCCAGCAAACCAGGAGGCACCCAGGTGAACGCAGGGAGTCGGACTTCCAACCAGCTCAACAGGACCAGGCAGCATGGACTGCAAGCCTTGCCCACCAACGGGCAGCACCAAGGGCCAGGGACAGACCTTCGTCATCAGTCAAAGAGGTGCTGGCTTTCCTTTTCCTTCCAGATATTCCCGAGTCCTGAAAGAGAATAAAATCACAAACATGGTATCTGGAATTGCAGAAGGGAAAGTCAGAAAGAAATGCCTATTCTGCATGTGCCCACAAGGATGGCAGGAGACCCTGGGCGGAGGTGGAGTGGGGTGTAAGTCCCACCAGTTGCACCTTTCCAAGTGGCTGAGTGGACTCCTCACAGGAGACCAGGGCTCTGAGTGCCAGTTTGTTTTTAAAGCAGGCTGACTTTTACAATCAAGGGAATAGTATTCATGACAAACAAATTCCTCCCAATGGAAACGAATGGCCCCCCACACTAGAACACCATGTTCTCTTCATTGTTTTCGTCCCTTCTTACACAGTAGAGTGACAGACCAGAACCTACCAGGAAGTGCTCAGGAAACGTGCCACATCCCCTAGCTCTTGACTCCTTCCCTGAGGAGATGAGAGATGTGGTTAGCTTTGGCCAAAGCTGTGGAGAGACCAGCTCCTCGCTCGGCCTGCATTTGTGTGAGCTACACTCCTCCCTCCTATGACCCCAGACAGACCGTCACAGGTCTGTGACCTTTCACAAGGGGTCACCTCTGGGACTCCACTTCCAGTAACGAGAAGCATATGCCCACCCAGGGTCTGCCCAAGTGCCAGAAGATACAGTGAATGCAGCCTGAACCAGGTTCTGGCACGTGCCCAATGAGAGGTGCCCAATGCCTGGGGCGGCTACTGCAGGCGTGTCTGCAGGAAGGATGACGCAGAGGCACAGCCTGGCAGACACTTGATGATCCACCTCCCTGTCCACAGCAATGGGTGCAAGACCTCAGTTCTGAGTGTGCAGTGCTGACCAACTTGGGGTGCCGGCTCACATGAACATACCTCAAAAGAACTGAGATAAAAATCTAGACTAGCTAAATGGATGGAGCTGAAGAATATCATGCCACGCAAAATAAGCCAATCCCCAAAAACCAAAGGGTAAATGTTTTCTCTAATATGYACATACTAATTCACAATGAGGTGTGGGGGGCACTAGGGAAGAATGGAGTTACCTTAGATTAGGTAGAGGGGAGTGAGGGGAGGGGAGGGAAAGGATTGGGAGGACAGAACRGAACAGACATGACTTTATGTGTATGCATGGCTGCATGACCATGTGATTCTATAACACGTACAAACAGAAAAATGAGAAATTATTTCCCATCTACATATGGTATATCGAAACTCATAAATGCATTCCACTGCTATGTGTAACTAATTAAAACAAATTTTAAAATGGGGAAAAAAAAAAAAAAAAAAAAAAGCTAGACCAGCTACACAAAGACTAATGTAGCAACCAGGAAGACTAGACATGCAGAAGGGGTCGCTGACCAGCCCTCCCGGGCAGCTCTGCAAGAGGCCACCACAACCCAAAGCTGCTGGGTGAGCAGTGGAGGAGAGTAAAGCACAGCAGAAGCAACATTCCGGGTGTCCCCCTGGGTGCCGGTGAACCGAGGCTCACCATGCTGAGCAAGCCTGCTCCACTGAGCCATGCCCTGCCCGGGAAGGCTTCCCAAGAGCAACATACCTTTCCTAGAAACCTGCTGCAAGTTCAAGGCCTTTTTCCTCCTTTCTTCTAATTCTACTTGTAGTTTTATTTCTACAACCTAAATACAAAGAAGTCAATAGCCAGTTATTAAGGACCTAAGTTACAGAAGTTCTGTATATAATACATTAAAACTTATACACATAAATAAATAAAAGYAATTGTCCAGCCTCACTTCACACCACTTGGTAAAACATCCAGTTTGATGCTTTTCCACTTGGTTTGTGTCTAGCTCTACCCTGCCCAATGTCTACATCCTAGGAGAGAGGATGCGTGCTGGCACCTCCCCTGGGCACAACTTGCCTGTCCGATGTTTGACCAGAAGTGCTCAATCTCCCGGGCAGCGGAGGCAGCAATGCGCCTCAGCCTGTCCTGCTCCTCTTTCTTCCCTCGCTGCTCCCGAAGCTTCTGTTCCTCGTGGTGGCGAGCCACAGTCCTGACGAGCTGGCAAACAAAGGTTCAGAGTTTAACTTCTGCCCCAGGTCATGCTAGAACAAAGGAATATCTACATTTTAAAGAAACTCTTCTGCCAAGATGCATCTATACATTCAGAGTTCAGCAGGAGACACTGGTACAAGCAAAACCCACCACAGACTTTCTGCCTGGCTTCCCTAGAAAGTGCTGTTCTACACAACACAATGATGTCCTCCTGCGCAGGATACACTGCGTTGCAGCCCCTTTCCTGCTGCACAAGGCCGATGCCTTCCCTTCACCACACACAAACCAGAATCACACTTTTCTTTCTCTGTGATTTTGGTACGGGGGACTGAACCCAGGGGCACTTAACCACTGAGCCACGTCCCCAGCCCTTTTTACTTTATATTTTGAGACAGGGTCTCATAAGTCACTGAAGCTGGCCTGGGGCTTGCCACCTTGCCTCGACCCCTCGGTGCTGGGACCATAGGCGTGGCCGCTGCTGACGGGCTGCAAGCACCTCCTGGCAAGAGTGCGCAGGGTCACGGCTGCTGTGCTGCATGGTCCAGCTGTACTCCAGCAGCTGCTGCCCTGCCAGCTGCACCCCCAGGGGCAGTGAGGGGAAGCGAGGGGTGCACACCCAAGACACCAACATCCACATGCTGTCCAGCCAATGCTCACCCCAACGCCTACATGTCCAGTCCCCCACCCTGTCCATGCCAGTGTCCACCTGTGCAGGACCATTTTCCACAATTTATAGGACATCTGGGATTTTTCTGAAACACCCATGGATCACACTTGAGGCCTTTTATTCTCAGAGCCCCACTGTCCCCTCTGGTAACAGCCCTGCCCTTCCTAACCCAGAGGGGATGTGTACAGAGCAGGGGGCAAAGATCAAGCTCAGACCTCAGCAGGGGAGGGTAAAAGTGCCATGCCCAGCCTGAAGAGTGGTCCATGACACAGCAGGACAGCAGGCCCCAACTGCTCACACAGTGAGGATGGCCCATGTGTCCCAGATACCAGTCACCTGCTCCACTTTTCTACAGCCAGCAGCCACACCTCCAGAGTCTCCCAAGAACTGACAGGCGGCCATGCAAACCAGGGGTGTTAAAAGGCCAGGCAGCGATACATAGGGTAGGGTGGGCAGGTCAGGGTACACCTGGCCACCCATTGACCAAGGCCTGCTGCTCCAGGCTGTCAGCACCTCGGCTCCCTGATCAACCCTGGACACCTGCAGAATTTGGGGTGCTGGAGGCAGACTAATTCCAACCACTAGGCAAAACCAGAAAAGGCACCCAAGCTCTACACCAGAACTGCAGCAAAGGACACGCCTGTTCTGATAGGCCCTTCAAGGCAGAGGAGGCCATCTCAGTTACCTTGCTGCAAGAGCAAAATGTTCTCCTATGCAGGACCAGCAGGAGCCTTCAGGGAATTGGCCTAAGGCGGCCCACTGACTACAGCCACCCCAGTGGACCCACCTTCCTAGCAGCAGCCAACTTCCACCTCCGCTCCTGGGCAAAGTCCGTGGCCATCCACTGCACCTCCTCCAGCAGGTAGTCCCAGTGCGACTTGGGACGTGGGGCCTCCTGCAGTTTTGGCAGTCGTCTTAGGGACCACAAGCCTTCCTTCCTCAGATCTGCTACGCGCTGATGGATGTGGTTTTCCTGTAAGGGATGCAGTACAGGGGAGGTAAGAGGTGGGCATGTAACTACTAAGTGTTTTCCATTAACTCAGACCCCAAATACTTGAGAAGACCCTACTATGTGAATGGCTCAGATACTGAAGGGAAAGAGACCTCCAGGAGGCTAGAGTCTAAGACGAGCCTTGGACACAGGTCAAAATGGCTCCAGGCAAGCACAGAGAAATGGCAAAACTGGGGCAGCATCCCACCATCTCTACACAGCACCAGAGCCTAGGCAGAGCTGTGGCCCAGGGCTGGAGTGTCTGCTGCACCAGACCTGCATTCCATCCCAGCTGCAAAAAAACAAAACAAAACAAAAAAAAAAAAAAAAAGGAAAAACAAAACAAAACAAAAGAAACCTAGGAAAGACTCAATGCTCACACCAAAGCGTTAACAAGGGAAACACTGTGGCCCTTGAAACTTGCTTCAATAGTCAGGAACAGGGAGGAGCCATGGAGCAAGACTGGCCCACTGATGGCCACTGAAGCCAGAGGTAACRGGCAGTGCTAGGCTCAGGTCCCTCTGTCTGCTCCATGCACACTTCTGTTACTTCTCTAATGAGGCTAAACAGATGCACAGTCGTTCACAAGAGCAGGTACGGGGTGGGGCGGGCATTGGGGTGGAGGTGGAGGCTCACACACCACTGTGCAAGGCCCAGGTCCCATTCCCAGTACCAAAGATTTTTTTTTAAAAAGGATCAACTGCTAGGGCTTGAGTGTGACTCCAACAGGAGGGTATGTGTTCAGCATGTGTGAAGCCCCAAGCCCTGGATTCAGTCCTCAGCATAGTGGAAAGAAAGCTCAGTGCTCGGCAGTGCTGCTCGAGGACAGGCCACAGACCAGGGCCGCAGGACCTGGCCACCCCTGTCTGAGGYTGAGGCTGAGGCCCAGCACTCACACCCTCAGCCACAGCTGCCAGCCACGCAGCCAGGGGCTGTTGCCGTACCGCGGGACCCTTCATGAGCCTGCCTCCACCAGAAGTCACTCCCCTTGACTCTCACCCTGGTTTCCAATGACCACAGCCATGGGCCACTGTCACCACCACAGGCTTAGCTTTAATTACCACATCCTTAAAAATGCAAAAAGTGTGAGCCTCAAGCTACGCACAGGCAGGGCCTGATGGCCATGCTTTTGGTCCAACTGCTCTCCAGGCTGTGGCAGGAGGGTAACTAGGCCGGGAGCCAAGTCAACCTCGGCCTTAGCGCGGCAAGCGCAGGCAAAGGAGCAGGCAGGCAGGACTGCACCTCCCACTGCCTGAGCCTCTCACCAGCGTGATCTGTTCTGCCAGCTTGTCCTGGACGCTGTCCTGGGATGCGGCCGCATTCTGAGCAGGACTCTGCGGTTTGGGGGGTGCCGATGCTGCCACCCCTGGAGAGCGGGATGTGACTGGAGACAGTGCCTTGCTGCTTGCTGAGGAGGGTCTGCTCACTGGCGAGGACCGTGCAGGGGAGGGTCCCGGGACTGCACTACTCCCTGGTGCAAGCGATGAGGAAGCAGTGGGCAGAGACCGCTGACAGGGCTGGGCAGAGTCCAGGGGGGGCCTGGTCGAAGCCACCGTCTAGCAGGCAGAAGACAAGCAAAGCAGGGTCAAGACAAGGCTTCAGGACWCCACAGAATTCATGCCAGAGCCCAGACCAGGAGAGGCCAGCACGYAGCCCGTCACAAGCCAGAGTTCTGCCAGGCAGGGGCACCCTGGAGCACGGCCACCAGGGGACCTGAAGAGCTCCCCTCTTGAGCTGCCCCAAGCACCCTACACAGCCTTCTAGCTGTGGCAAGAGGGTCACTAGGCCGGAAGCCAGGTCAGCCTCGGCCTCARCATGGAGCAGGCAGGCAGGCAGGACTACACCTCCCACTGCCCAAGCCTCTCATCAGTGTGATCTGTTCTGCCAGCTTGTCCTGCACGCAGAAAGCTCCCGGAGCTTTCTGCTCTTGTTTTCTTTTGCCTTTTCCAGCTCTCTCGCCTTCAGATTTTAAGTCATTACGTTTTACAACTGTTGATTGTGCCGGCGTTTTCCTCCCCATACCTCACACTGTCTTCCTCTGAGGAGCAAACCCCGACTCCATTCACAACTCTGGCAGAACTCTGCTGTGTTGCCCAGAGGCCACCTCGACCCCCACAGGAGCCCTGCCAAGGGGGAGGCGCCCAAGAGGAGGACCACAGGTAAGTGAACAGAAGGCCTCACAGTCAGAACCAGAGAGGGGACAGCTCTCCAGAGCAAGTACTGGCCCTTGAGACATGGACCTAGATGATTCTCCTGCTCTGGGCAGGAAGTCACAGCTTTATTGCATACTTTGGGGAACAGAGCTTCACTGGGACACAGCCCATCAGTGTGCCCTCAAGCTGTCTGTGCTGCTCTGCACTTCAGCAGCAGAGCTGAGTGACTGGCCAGCAAAGCCAAGACACTGCACAGCTGTCCCTTTAAAGATAAGCTGACAGCCCATCCACGGATAGTGGGTTTTTGCAGACCCTAGAGCTTCCACACAGGCAGGGAGATCACCCAAAGAAAGTCATGTGCTGCTCCAAGCTACGGTGTGTTTCCAAGAGAGAAGGAATTGTTTCCATGAAAACCTCAAGGAAGCACTGGCCTGGGGGAGCWCAGCTGTGCTGGGAAGGTCCACACGGCTGTCCCTGCCACAGCCCCTGCAGCCCAGCCACTCCACCCCTCCACCAATGAAACAAGGCAGACAAGACTGCTTCATAGGCTGCAGGGCGGAGAAAACAAAATCATGCCATTGCCATCCCTATCACAGGGCCTGCCACCTCGCCTCAAAGGGACAAGCAAGTGGTCACTGTCACTCAGTGCTGCTTCCATTCTATTATCATGTCCTAAAGATAATGGCATAGCCCATGAAGAACTGGAGCTCCAAGTCCGCTGGGCAACACCCTGGTAGTGAGGACGGCAGAGGAGAGGGAGTTCTTTGTCAGCAGGCTCTCCCACGCCCAACACCAGCAGAGAGACAGACAAAGCTGGGCTCCCAGGCTCAAGCGCTCGCCCTAGGGACCAAAGCCAGGTTACTGAAACACCTTAAGCACAGCCCTGATAGGACTGGTCAGTGGAGGAGGAGGGGCATGTCAAGCCAGACAGGTCAGTGATGGCTACACACACTCATAGAGCATGGCRCCCAAAACAGGAAGAGCCACCCATGGAAGAAGCCTGGTGAACGGTCAGGGGCACAGTTTTGCCCTCAGACAGGAATTGCTCAAGCCATATAACATGGGGCTAGCTCCCAAATCTCCAAGATTGGCCAAATTGGTCACCATCTGAGAGTCAGAAGGCATATCAAGTAGGACATGGACACATACCCTTGGCGTCAACAGGTGGAAGTTTCCTGTACTGAGGGCACCAGCACCATAGCTTTACGTTCCTTTAACAATGATTACTATTGCAGAGCCAAATAAAACCATGTTGCAACTACTGAATTAACCAGCTATTACAAGAGGGACAGTAAAACTACTATCAAAAACTGCACTGGGGCTGGGACTGTAGCTTAGTGGTAAAGTGCTTGCCTCAAATGTGTGAGGCACTGGGTTCAATCCTCAGCACCACATAAAAATAAATAAATATACTGTATGTTCATCTACAACTAAATAAATATTAAAAAAAAAACTGCACAAATTCGGGCTGGGGTTGTGGCTCAGCGGTAGAGTGCTTGCCTAGCGCGTGTGAGGCCCTGGGTTCAATCCATAGCACCACATAAAAATAAGTAAATAAAGCAAAGGTATTGGGTCTAAAGTCAATGCTACAAACTAGTTCTTTCCTTCCACATTTAACAAAACTACAGATGTCCACACAGTACCTGCGGCTGGGATGGAAGCTGAGCAGTCTGCATCTGTGCCTTCCCAGGCATCGGAACGTGGAGCGCYGGCTGGGAGGGCTGTGGAGGAGGAGCCGGGGGCTGGCTGGGCTGGGGGACAGGAACAGAGACACCAAGCTGCTGAGTCTTGGGCTGGACCTGGGGCTGTGTCTGGGCCTCCAGAACCTGCGGCTGCTGTGAGAACTGTAGCGTGGAGGGGAGGGCAGAGGCAGGGACACTGGCYGGGGGCAGCCTTGTGGGCAGCTGTGGTGGCGGGGTGTGCAAGCTGGCAGCATTCTGCACAGGAGGCCCTGTGGAGGGGTCGTACTGCTGCTGGCTCTGCTTCTGTCCAGTGAGCTGGGCAGCCTGCGGGGTGGGAGGCATCCCTCCTGCAAAAAAGAAAAGACACCACAGAACTGACCTCAGGGCCTGTGGCTCCCACCAGCAAGTCACAAGGGAGTGCGCCCATGGCCCGAGGCTCATTTGAAATCACCACACAAATGGGAGTCAGTGTTCCAGCAGGTATAACACCAGGACGCTCTCACACAGAAAGAAAGAAGGATGCTCCATCTCTGCAAATCAGCAGCAGCCACTGAGCTCAGAGAGCCACAGGCACCCTGCTACACAGCCGCCAGGGCAAGCAGGAATGAGCACGGAGAACCACAGGCACAGTGAGAGGTATGGCCCCCAGTAGGGCCAAGTACGGGTCTCCAGGGCTTTGCACACCGCAGGGGAAGGCGCTCTGACACTCGCAGACTCAGACCCTCTGCTGGACGCACTCCTCACCCGCACAGCCTCAACAGGGGTGGCCTCGAGCTGTGCATGCCCCTCAAACTAGAAGCACAGGGCCTGCGTGGCTTACCTTGCACGGTTGGCATCAGCTGCTGCAGAGGCACGCCAGCACTCACCCCTGGGGGCTGGAAGACCACCCCTGGATGGCCCACTTCAAGTCGAGGTCTCTTGGACTGCTCTAGAACGATTTTCAAGAAAGGTGCCATTTCATGTAAAAATAAAACCAGAGAAGCGGCAAGAAAAACATGTGCAAGTGTTTCACGATCTCTCCAACAGGGGGGCCTTCCCATGCCATGGGGTCAGGTTGATAAATACAGCTCATTCTCATCAAGAACTCGCCAATCAAGAGAAAACTTATGAAAAGGCAAAGGACTACCAGAGCTAGGCGGTGAGACTACCCAGGACGCACAGAGGCCCACATGGCAGGACAGTCACACTCCAACAGACAGGGAGCCGCAACATAGTGCAGAGCCACTGGCACCCAAGGAGGCTGGGCAACCCCATTTGAGCCAGAGGAGCCCACACCCAAGAGATGAGTGGCGTGACCCAGGTGGCAACCAGAGAGAGGGCTACTGTGCGAACAGGTAGCTGGCGCCCTGCGGCCCGCAGAGGGTGGTACACTTCCAGGAGCTTTCCTTCAGGGAGCCACAGGCTCAAGACTGGCACTGAGCCCCTGCCCTGCAGGTGACAAAGAACAGCAGACACACACACACACACACACACACACACACACACACACACACACGGCTAAGATGTGCCCCGGGAGGAAGGGAGCAGCCACAGTGTGCAGTGCTGCACAGCCACCCAGAGCCATAGGCGTGTGGCCTGCAGCAATAGCCAGTGGGGTCAGTCGTCTTCACAGGACATGGTGTGCACACAAGCACACCTGAAGGAGGGTCCAGAAAGACATGCGTGCAGATGATGCTTGTTTGCACAGAAGCATGTCTGTGAGAGCCCAGAGTGCCAGCCACAGGGCTCCCGCCACACCCCAAAACACCTCAATCTCCCATGGAGAAATTCACCGTGACATCTAGAATCTGAAGAAAACTTCTGTATAAAAAAATTACAACCTCTGCCAGATATAATAGTACACACCTGTAATCCCAGCAGCTCTGGAGGCTGAGGCAGAAGGATTACAAGTGCAAGACCAGCCTCAGCAATTTAGCAAGGCCCTAAATAATTCAGAGGAGACCCTGTCTCAAAATAAAAAAATAAAAGGGCTGGGAATGTGGCTCAGGGTAAGTACCCCTGGGTTCAATCCCCAGTACCCCAAAAGAAAAAGACAGCCTCAAAAAGCAGATGGCACAGCGTTCTGCCTTGTGGTGACCTGCATGAACTAGGGACACCTGACTGACTGGGCCTTCCACCCCAGGCACACTGTTACTCAACTACTTCGTTACAGTGATGAGTGACCTCCACAGCAGAGAAGCTCCCTTGAGCGAGCGAGCGCTGCGCAGTCACACTGCCTGAGCCAGGACATACCTGCGGGCGGCATCACCGGCTGCCTCTTGAATGGGTCCACCTCCATTGCGCTGCCTGCTCCAGCACCCAAGCTCCCTGCCAGGGCTTGCTGCTGAAAAATATGGGAGATGGTGAGACTCTGATCCAATGCGGCCTCTCAAGAACGAGCATGAACTAGAACTGCCACAACAACCCCAGGCACTGGCTGACGGCTTCTCAACAAGTGGGATCTACCCAGTGTCTTCAATTCACATCTGGAACATGTACCTCTGTATGGTAAGGTGTCTGACAGTCCTAACTTACCTCTGAAGAAAAAAAGGACTTGCATAAGACACACCATTCTGGTTTCAAATGGGATTTCAGATCACACCTATCCATAGTCCTTGGGAAACGAGCTGGCTTTGCCTACCAGACCACACAAAGGCCAACCTGGGAAACTTGGGACCAGCTGCACTGCTGGCCCAACTCCTGTCAGACACTCGGCAGTGAGGGGGAGAGTGGGCAGTCTCCCTGCTGGAGAGCCCCAAGACCAGGCAACCACAGCTCCCTTGGACCTTCAAGGTGACATCTGCAACAGTCCACACTACTTGATGTGTGTGTTTGTGTTTACATATTCAGATATGGTGATTCTGAGGCAAGTCTGATTCCAGCCACCTATAGGTAACATTCTGAAAGGATGAAGCTATGCAGGCAGAAGCCATCAGGGGTGGCAGTAGGTGGGGGTAGAGGGGTAAAGACAGGAAGGACGCAGGCTCTGAGGCAGGGAAACCATCATAAATGACACCACGATGCATGGTGCTAACCCTCTGTGTGGCCCCAAGTTAGCCAAGACACTATGCACTCTGGGTAGCAAGGATGTGAGCCCTCAGGGGTGCTAACAGTAGGAGGCTGGGCCTTCACAGGGCACCTTCCTCTCCAATCTRCGGCCAGCCTAAAGCTGCGGGCAAGGTGGCAGAAGACAGCAACCAGACCGGCCTCCCCGTGGGCACCCTCCTGCCCCCACAGCAGACACGAAGTGGGTGCTGCTCTACAGCTGCCAGACGCCAGCCAGGCTCCAAGGGTGCCATCAGCCCCACTGCACCAGTGGGAAAGCCCTCATAGGCCATCATCCAGCAGGAGGGTCCTGCTCATGCCAAAGGCCCCGCAGCTAGAGAGAGACACTAGGGACCCCTAGAGAGCCACTGCCACCACACAGCCCACGCATGCTCATGGCACACAGCCCGCTCACACCTAGTGGGGGTGAGGGGACCAGAGCACAGGTGGGCACACGAGGAGGGAAACAGCACCTACCAGCATACTCTCTGTGGGCAGGGCTACAGGTGACTTTTAGTTTCATGTGTACATTTTTCTAAACTTCCCACAATGAATGTGTATTATTTATACAATCAAGGGTTTTTTTTTTTTTTTCTTTTCCTGCTACTGCAGATTGAACCTACTTTACCCCTAAGCCACATCCCTACCCCTTTTTAAAATTTTGAGACAAGGTCTCACTAAATTGTAGAGGGTGGCCTCGAACTTGCAATCCTCCTGCCTCAGCCACTTAAGTCACGGGGACCACAGCACCCAGCCTAAGTTACATTTTAACAAAACAAGTTGGTAAAGGGTCCTCATCCAGCTGTGGCCAGTACTTGCTAAGATCAAACACACTCCACGACATTGAGCTCCACATGAAATGTGAAACAAGGCAGAGGTGGCAGGCAGCACAGGACAGGGCCCACCCTGGCACAAAAGGATGAGTGTGGCCAGGCTTCCAGAGCAGGCCAAACCCAAAAAACAGACCCCAGGATGAAGAAGGACAGGCAGGAGGACAGAGGGCCTTGGGAGCACAACACCTCCCTTCTCTGCCTGGCCTCTGCCTAGGTCTGACTCAAGCCCAGCGGGCCGACACCACATGCAGGTGCAAGCAAAAGCCAGCGTTCGAACCTGAGTCCTCAGGTGCCACCTGCCTCAGAGGACAGAATCCGCACCTCTGTTCAGTGAAGTTAGCCAGGTATCAATGCAGAATGACTCATCTTTAGAAGAATGTAACAGAGCCCAGGGTTTCTACATGCGATTCACAATTCTCCAAAATCCAATGCAAAGTTGCTCAAAAACATAAACAAGTACGGAAACCTGAGCCACAAAACAATCCAAGGACCTCCACCCCAAGGGGACCCACAAGCTGGAATCAGCAGGCAGGAATTTAAAGTAGCTTTAGTAGGCACACCAAATATACGAAAAAAATACATTCTAACAAAGGACTAAGAAGAAAACTGGATGGAAACCCAGGAACTGACCTGGACTGCAGAGCTGAGAATACCACATCTGAAATAAAACCTCAGGATGTGCTCAGGGACAGTACAAGGGCACAGGACAGCCAGTAGGCCCAAGGCAGATCTCAAAGAAGAGAGCTGCTGGACTTCCAGGCCCACATGGGCTGAGCTGTGATCATGAGACCCTCAAGAACACCACAGCAATCCAAGGGCCACGAAAACTCTTCCCAACAAATGATGCCTAAGATTGGATAGAAATACCAAAAAGCCGGCAAAGTGGACTTCATCAAAATCAGAAAGCTCAGCCAGTGCAGTGGCCACACCAGTGATCCTAACAGCAGAGGCAGGAGGGTGGTGGGCTCCAGGCCAGCCTGGGCACCTTGGCAGGACCCCGTCCCAGAATAAAACATAAAAAGAGTTGGGGTGGGGCTGGGGATGTAGCTCAGGGGTAGAATGTAGGATCAGCATGCTCAAGGACCTGGGTCCAACCCTGAAACCACAAAAACAAACAAAGTCAGAAAGCTCTACTCGCCCAAAGGCCCTGACAGGTGGGCTGAGGACACAGGAGTACACTGCCGCTCTACTCTGTAGAGTGCCTGGGAGCTCTTTGGCAGGCCCCCACACAGATTTTCAGGACGACCTTTGTCAAGCACTCTGCTGTCATGAATGTGTCACTAATAAAGAAACTATTAGTTTTAAAATAAAAACTTGATTTTTTAATAAAAACGGGAAAAGGGATACTCTGGCAGGATTTAATTCTGGGTGCTCTTTTAAGAGAGACGGCACCAAAATTGAGCATATCCACAGAGTTAATATCATTTATGGGAGCCTTGAAACTAGGCCACAAAAAGAAGGTGAAGGAAGGAAACAGCCCACGGAAGAGACAAGCAGAACGCCTGCATTCCAAAAGGAGTGGACTGGGGCAAAGAAGGTAAATACAAGCAGTCTCTGGCAGTTCCTGGGAGCCAAATTTCTACCCAATCAAACAAATAAATAATTTAAAAAATAGGTGGTACACTGATTAGACTGTGTCCTTTGCAAGTCTGGTGCTCCGTCGCTGCACAAAATGGGCTCTCCAGCTCCTGAAGCGGGTGCACTTGCATGCCCAGGACCAGACACCCAGCCCAGTGCTTACCCGGATGTGAGCAACACATAGCAGAAGCACCCTCTGCGCCTTCCTTTCAAACATGCATTAAAACAAAACCAGACATCACCGACTAGACCTGAAAACTCTTCACTGTGCACACAAAAATAGGCACATATCTGTAAGGTGACACAGAAGGCAGTCATTGGGCTCCAGCCCCAGAGTCACAGCCGGTCCCCACCTTCCTCACCACTAAGGTCACAGAAGCACACCCCATCAAGACAGCCTCACACTGAGTGTGTGTGTGCGGCACCACGCCTGCAGGACAGTGCAACACACACCACTCCACACACCAGTCTGCAGGCTTTCCATCAGCAGAGCCCAGCACAGAGTCCGGCTGCAAACAGCAGCTCCTCTGAAACTACATCCACATCATCCTCAAATGCTCCGCAAGCGCCCAATGCCCAGCAGTGCTTAGGCCAAGCACAAGGGCACGAGGGCACCCCACAGAGACTTGTGATGCTCTAGACTCACAATGCTCCTCCTAAGACCTCTGGACAGACAGAACTCAAAAATCAGAGAAATAGCTCAGTGGACGGCAGGTCCTCAAAGCAATGGCACATCAGCAGCCACCAAAGCACTGCCACCAGGGAACACAACACAGGTGCAGGGAAGGCGAGGCTAAGCGGCCATGTGAGGTGGGGGGCTGCAGCGACTGCTCCTGCCTGCCACAGGCAGATGACGGACAGGCACTGTCTGCACAGTTGCTGCCCTTCATGCACATACCCACCTGTGTTCTGCCCGCACACCACCTCTGCACACAGCACTACCTGGAACCTTCCCGACACAGGCACTGGAGTCTGTCCTAGAGGCTCACCAGTCAGTATACCTCAGTGCAGCTGTGAATGACAGACCCAGACTGAGGTCTCTCCCCAAGGACAGGAACACAGCTCTCCACCCCAGCTCTCCTCTAGGCCTCAGATCCACTGGCATTTGAGATCCTCCAGAATCTACAATCAAAATGGAGACTCCTGGGTTTCTCTTTTGGTCTCTTAAATAATTTTTATCATGAAGTATATCATAAAATATGTGTGATTTTAAGAGCACAGTAAAACTGATCATACTATTTAAACAGGGGAATCATTTCACCAGACAATCCACTTTTCTGTACATCTGAAATCTCTCATCATACATTTCTGAGAGGGAAAGTGGGAAAACACCTGACATACAATTTTAAAGAGCAATAAGGTAATCCCCATGTATTTATCACCTGGCTTAGGAAATAAAATACCACTTGTGTCTAAAAGCTCCACACCCCTGCTTCCTGCCAAGGTACTCGTCATCACAGTAGGTGACAAGCTTCTCCCCACAGAACCTTTGCACATTGTCAGTGGAAATGTAAAGTAATGCCGCCATCACAGAAAACATGGCAGTTCCTGGAAAACCAACGCAGAGTGACCAATGACCAAACTACCCTCCTGCAGAGGAACTAAGGGAACTAAGCACAGTGTGGCCCCTGGGGACCGGCACCAGAGAGGCTCAGGCAACAGGATCTCCTGAGCTGGGAGTTCAGGGCCAGCCTGTGCAACAGGGGAGACCTGCCTCAAAGTGAATCAAGGAACAGGTTCTGGAGACTCATGAGCAGCAATGGACAGCACTGCACCGCACGCCTCGACTGCTAAGGGGCAAGTGGCCTCACACATGACTGAGGCAAGGAGTGCACTGACTGGGCCACACCTGTGCACATCACCATCTCTGACACGCTACACACAA